CTGCTCGCTGAATATGAACGCTCGAAAGATCAACTTGATAAATTATTTGCAAGAAACAAAGCAAACATATCTACAACACAACTAGAGAAATGATTGTTCTACAGAAAAGGCTATACACAGACGTAGAAAAAACCATCAATCCAAATGCATGTCCCTCTCGTCAACGATGAAGATTAAAATAAATATTTAGCAGAGATACTTATTACATATATTTTGTTTTCTAATACTCTTGGTTGGACTTGGTATATATTTGTTCAGATAAAGCTGTTGGACTTGCAATATGGGACATGGGATTTGTGAGATGATCAATGATAGCGCCGCTATCTAAATTATCAACAAAGGCAAAGCCATAAGTGTGCATGGATCATGTGCCATCATTAGCAATAGTAATACACATCAACCAAGAAGCACTAAATAGGGAAAGAAGCGTATTGAGAAACAAGAATCAGACAGGTAGTATATCAGAGTCTTCAAAAAAGATACACAGATATATATCATCCGATATATTAAGTTTTTGTGTCTATGCTGATACAATAACTTTAACCTCTTGATCCTTCGTCGTCAATTTAAACATTATCAACCATGCCGTTATGGGAAGCCCAAGATATCGCAATTTTGATACAACAAAAGCAGCAATATCCGCATGTGTCTTGGGAATATATTGCGCGAATGATTGGCTATCGCCACACACCTTCAGCCTGCGAGGCACGATATCGTCAATACAAGGTGAGTATGATATTTGAAAAACAGAAAGAGCTATTGCGGTATCGTGTATTATAAATTTATCATAATATGTTGCATATTTCTAGCCACCGTTACCTTCTCATTGGACTCCAACTCAGCGATATTACCTTGCAAAGCTGCGCGCATCCAAACCCCCTTTATCATGGAACGAAATAACTTCGTGGGTGGATCATCCGCCAGAAGAATGTGAGGAGGTTTATCGTGACCAGATAAACCACAGAGAAATCGTTTATGCCAGAGGAGTTGTGGAAGGGGAAATTAAAAAAGCAGAGCAAATACAGCTTAAAATGGATGTAAGTAATCATCGTCCAATCTTACACTGACTATATAATAGAAGTTGATTAATAAATAAAAAGTTGGATAAATTAATATCTTTTTTGTTAGTTGCATCCTATTCAACCTCGGGGTCCCATCATAGGTGATCGGCGCAACAAGCATTGGACCCAAGGGGAGCTGGTTACTCTGATCCGCATGCGCTTGAGGGGTCATCATTTTGATGACATTGCTCAAGAATTGCACCGTACTAGCAATGCTGTATCATCCAAGTGGTACAGTTTTAAATACTAAGTTATCATGCTCATATATGAATACTGTAGCATAAATGTAACGGTGCATACCGTTACGACGATATCCAACCTGCATGGTTGACGATCGACGACGCACGGTTCAGACGATAGGATGACTTACGGTCAACTGCATGGTTGAATATGGAGTAATAGGCGTGGATATTCTAGATAGAAGTTATGATGTAGATTAATACTTAGACGATAGCTAGCCCCCTATTACTCGACGTATATATAAAGACGGGATCCTGAGTTATATGGATCCCCATCGTTTTATCCTTTGATATATCCGAGTCTCACCTTATTCATTGATCCACACTGTCTACCCATTTACGTTCCCGATTGTAAGTATCTGGGCCGACACTGTTACAATAAATAAAAAACAAAAATTTGCTGCTGTTTTATCTTGCATATACATAATTGTTTGCTCATACTCATAACGATTCCATACAATATTTTAAATTTCATGCTATACTTATTACTAAGCTAATAGATTTATATGCTATATATACAGTTATTATATTGCTTAATACAAACATCTTACTCTATATTTCTTGTCATCCATCGTGTAGATAGCAGATCCAAGAATTCGTTAAAACAATGGAGAAACCATGACAAACATCTTATTGACGTCCTCAACACGACGTTCCCCGCTCTCAACCAGCTCTGTCCGTGTTCAAAACCAACAACAAGGTATAGAAAGATATTGTGAACATTAAGAGAAATCTATATATTAAACACTTTGGTTAGTGACATTTGTCGTATTCCCGGGATTCCAATAACGAACTCCCCTCATACAATCCTGCAATACACGTTGTTATTGTTCCATACATCAACTTTCAAAAAAGAACCGCACGCGTAATATTATCCTCTATCCTCTATATGTAGTGTCCAAGCATCGTCAAAAACTTTAGTCCATGAGAAAGCATACATATCTGATTACTGTAGACACAATCCTCTCAATCAGCATAATTAATTGTTTAAATTTAGAAGTAACAGCCTTCATCTTTAAATCACTGATATGTATAATTCTGCCAACACTCTCAGGGGCTTCTAAAGTCTCTTTTCATCACTTTCATTTTTCAGCATATCACGAGGCTTCTGATAATTGTTTGATTAGAGTGTAGCACGCCCCCCACCCGTAGTATGGCTAGCGGGTAATCGTGGGTGGCATGTAATTCTAGCACGACTATCTTTCTTTCACATGCTCAACAGGTGATATACACATGGGTTAATCATTTGCATAAAAGATATATCTTCTTGTTAATAGTCACCTGCGAGTATTATCATCAATTTTTTTCAAGAATTTTCTTTTATAAATGGTGCCTTTTCAAAGTCATAGTGCACTTGTGGTAAACCACACTACTTTGAGATTGATCCGGACAACTCATCCCACTCCGCCGTCTTTGTAACCATTAGAAAGCAGTAGAGAGAACACCACACACACGAATGAATCACAATATTACATAATTAGCGCCATATCAATAATCTCTCAAACATGGATCACAATCGAGAATAACTCAGAACCAACCATTGTATACACATTGTCCTATTCTCGAGTTAGTCAGCACTTCCTTTGAATCTAGCTTATATGAGTTGAGCGAAGTGTACCTGTCAAAGAGCATTTTTTTTTGGATGAGCCGGGTGGAGGCTGAAATTTATTGGTTGGTCACACGTTTAATGTCAAAGAGCAGATACCAATTCCAGCACAGACAAAGGTGAAATTCGCCAAACAAGGAGCACACTGATCAAGACAAAGATGACTCTTTACAACCGGAGGCAACGTTCATTGTCATGACCGCAAACTCAACCTTACCATCCTCTTCATCTTTGAAACATCCGAAACCCGGCATGCCCCGATCCATTCATCAGTTCATCCAAACGGAAATCTTGACAGCATATCCAAGAGTATATAAAGGGTTGTTAATTCATTCGAAAAAAATCATCTCATATTTGACTCTCACAGTATTTCATATTGTCTTTATTCAATCTCTTTTCTCTTATTATCTATTCACAACCCACGTTCATCACAGCACTCCTTCTCTCAAACAAGGTCTTCTTTTCTCCTTCTTACAACTTTCTCTCCAATAACTCTCTTTCTATCTTATCACTATTGTTTTATATTCATAAAGCCTTGCACCTTTTTACTCAATACTAAAAATGGTGTCTATCAGTGCGTGGACGACAGCGACACTGATATGACTATGTCATCAATCGACTCGTTTGATACCGACAATATGCTCGTCGATAATGACCCAACCACTGATGCTTTTTCGGAAGCGAGCGACGGTGCGGCTATGATGGATGTGGACGACGAAAATATTGGTTTTGACAACGTTAATGACTACTATGACGACCTGGACAACGACACTAGCTCGGACATTACATCATTTGCCGAGAATGAGTACTCCTATGAGAAATAGCGTACATGGAGCAAGAAGGAGCAGCAGGTACTGTTAATATTGCTTTCCGCTTTCTTCTGTTATGATTTTTATGAGCATGTATATAGTAGACTCACTATGGTTGTACCTTTATATTATTTCCTACATAGAACCGGAGCCAGACTTCATTCGCGACACGTTTTACGGCCGTGCAAATACATGGCGATTAGCCAGTCGCAAATGCAAGTTGAGGGTAGCATTAAATGAAAATCGTGAGCTGTACAGGGTTCGTACACCATTATAAAGCCACCAAGATTATCTATGATTATCTGGACAGAAAAGCTAAAACAATCTTATATTACCGCTAGGCTTACCTTCGTTCGTTAGCTGAGTGGTACCAAGTACTTCGCAGAGACGCCTTGAACTTGATTAATCTGCATGCTCTGCTTGCATACGAAAGCAACGGTGAGATACCCATGCCAGAATTAGACAATCAAACGTATTGGGCTACGGCATTTCGGATGGTGATCACCAATCCAACGCAAGAGGCACCTATACCGGCTCGCGTGAGAATAATTTCTGTTGCTTGGGATGAATTGTGCATAATGTGTATGTCGCGGAGCATGCAGCACTGACAAGCTTTTTAACTTATTGACTTCAATAGACTCCAAATCGCTACGCCGTTCTACGCGATATCTTCAATAATCATTATCAACCACAACGCCGGAATGCGGAAACAGGAGAAGGTATTAGATATAATGATATGACGCTTTGAAACTGGGTAAAAGTAGATATGATAGACGTTTGATGCTGACTTCCTTAACAGCGTTATATGGTCTTCCTGTTCTTCGTCAAGACTTATCAATGTCCTTGTTGGCTCGATTAGCACAGCTTTTTGCAGTGAAAGCTAAAACCAGTAAGTGTAGTGTACACGCAATTCTTACATGCTCTATGTATGATTGTTGAACTATAGAAATAGATAGTAACCAAAAATATAATATATGTAGATGCCATGAATCACCTATGCACCAATATTCCTGTCTTTCTCAAGCGTGTATGGGTCGCATATCTGAGTCATCTGCGCCATGAACATAACCTTACCTTTCGAATCAGCATCTCTAGCATGGGTAAACAAAAGAATGATTTACTTTTCTACTTAAATTGGTAATACTGGAGTGTTGAAAAATATCTCACCGCTATTTTTTATGGTGATCTGCTTATAGCAAAACAAATCTGTAATTTGATCACAACGCACAGAACTCATTTGACTCAGCGTTTAATTGAACGAATTCCAGCAGCAATCTTTACTGAGGTGCTTCAATATTTCAAGTAAGAAATTACACATAATTTCTTTTTAATTTGTTACGATGATTATATAGATACAACACATAGATAAACACACAGTTATAACTAAGACGGTGTTACTATTTTCAACTTTTTTAGCCAACACACTGCACGATTCGAACAAGCATATGCCGGCGTGAATATCGCACGCATAGTACAGCGACCGTCCATATCTGGCCCTGCAATGCTAGTGAATTCGCTATCCTTTTATATCTGGCTGTCACTTGAAGCCCAGCCTTTCCAATTCTGTCCCAAGTGGACTCCACTGCCACTTGCCAGTCACCGCATTGGATTCATGCCGGTCGACCTTAAAACTATGTATTACATCGTACGCGAAGTGGACGAGCGAGATCCTGCACAAGTGCCAGATAATATTGTGGTAATGATATGCGTTTTTACTCTCTTTGTGTTTCCAATTATTAAAAGATGTTATTTGTTTATTTACTGGCTTGTTTCCATCGATGCATAAATCTAGAGACTAAATAACGCTCCTGGCCGTGGACGTTGCTTGTCATATCGTGTTTTCAGACAGCAAGATCCTGAGCTGCTTGAAGGCTTCTGGGAGTCGCTATTTAATATCGGTCACGTAGAGCCGCGACGTTGCCGATACGCAGTCGAAGGTAGATTCCGTATACATTTTGAATAGTCACAAAGTGGTATCTTTTGATAGTTATATCTAAACTCATCTATCTCATATACATATATATAATATGGTGTGCCCAGGTCAAGGTGTTGTCCCCCAGAAGACCGCGAGCTCAAACTCTTTAATCAAACATTTGAAACGGATGGTGTCGCCATTGTGTTCCATTTTCGCAGGCCTGTGACAACGCGGCGTGGAGGTTGGTAGTACCCTCATAGCATGCAATATTAAAAGTATGTATTTAGTCATGACGACATCTCATAAATCTATTGTTAGAGTATATGCCTTCTAGCTCCAACCAAGTTAAACGCTTTCCTCGTGAAATTGACGTCACACAGTGGAGAAGAGGAATGTATCATCTCTCCAAAGAGCCAGATGGTCTTGATGCAGAGCGGCTTCAAAATTTTCGAACAGTGTTCATAGACCCAGGTATATATCTAATCATTCTCAAAATATGTAGCGTTATCTAAGTAGATATTTTGTATATTATTTTAGGCATCCGGTCTCTGGTCACTGCTGTAGACACTCTTGAGCCGCTCGACACACCTGAAGCGAGAGCAGAGCACGTATATCAGCTAAATAACAGAACATACCAGTGAGTACTGCGTGCAGTATATTTACTTTTAGCAAGTATGAGCGTGTGTCCGCGCTTTTTACATCTGATGCCAACATGTTTGATTTTGTACATAACCCTTTTTTAGGTTCCAGTCCATGTTCAAGTGGGCGCTCCAAAAGGAAAACAAAAATCGAGCACGCTATGCTCATGTCGAGCGACAGGCTCATCCGGATCAAGATATCCCGGAGATACAGGAGGTGTATGATATGTTGAGAGGACATCCGGCTTCAGCGCCTACCTCGGAAGGTTTCCGAAACTACATCAGAATGTTGAGTGGCGTGCACAGACAGTAAGTTACCCAGCTATGTCGATATATACTGGAACACCGCGATCATCATTTTGGCATGAGTATTTACTCTAGTTTTTCTTAAAAAAAATAGCGTCCATGAACAATTTAACAAACATTTCTTTCACCGGGAAACATTACTCACTCTTTTTTCTGCGCGCAAAAGCGCATTGGAGAATCTTGCCAACAGATTGATAGGGTTGGATCACCGTGACGATGTAAGTATCTTTCTGTGTATGAGTACTTCTTTGATAAGTCGCAAAAGCTAATATGGTTGCTTCAAGGTACCTCTCCCTTTCTTCAATAAGGCCTCCAAACGCGAACGCAAAGCTCACCGCCGCCGGTTTCGCCGACCGCGCCGCGCACATGCAGGATTCAGAGTGGAAGACAATTCTATTGTAGCATATGGTGATGGAAGGTTTAAGCCCTCCTTCAAAGGATTTGAACCTATTCCTGTTGAGGTAAATAAGAAAATTTATCTGGCAGACGTGGTGGAACGTTAATTAGTGACGAATGAAGCGAGTGTCCTTGCTATAAATTTACGCCTATATTATAAATTACTTTGTAGACGTTCCGGGCGGTTCTAGCAAGACGTGTAATGGTCGTGCTCATCGATGAGTATCGAACCAGTGTTGTGTGCAGTGCTTGCGATGCGAACACGCGTCAATTTCGAGACCGTCCAGGAAGTGTTCAAGTGTGCCGCGAGCACACAAAGCGGAGAATTCGTCGGATCCGCGAACGTGCTGAAGACGATGGACACAGGAACAATGCCCGACGGCAGCTCTGGTGTGTGGATGACGACGGCCATAACCTTTGGCCAACATCGACTTGCAACGACCGTCAAAACGCTGGTACGTAATATAGGCTTTGTTACTTTCTATCGTGTATACAAAAAGTTTGTGAAACAGTGAGAGAGCTTCAATAGCTAATATTATGGTTTTAATAATATACCAAAACTTATTTTCAGCTGGTTCCCAATTATCCGTGTATCCGTTGAAGTTCTGCGATCATTGTCCTGTACCTACTGTAAGTAGCTAGTATTTGATTGTTTTATTACATCAGTGCCTTGATAATGCATCATACGACTTGCGCATAAGCTTACATTATCTATACATATAGTTGTGGGACCGTGATAATAATGCTGCGCGAAACATTGGTCGTATCTTCATTCAAAACGTCCAAACTGGTAATTTGAGATCGCGACCACCGTCGATGCGTCGTCCCGCCGGAGAAAATGTGTTAGACGATGCCCACGACGACGAGTTTGAAGAGGAAGAGGAAGAGGAAAACGAAGAAGAAGGAGAAGAAGAGCAGGCCTTGGCGCCTGTCATGGAGTGAGTGGAGGGCCACTCCAACGAGATACAAACTGGGGGGAGGTAAGTATCTTATTCCATACTCGTTTCTTTACTTTTGTAACAGCTGTCTAACTTTTGTTTCTTTTCATGCATACTCTTCAATGCACTTCTTCCTGTTGCATTTATTCTCCGATTATAATTTCTAATTTTTCTTGATGAATAAAAGACCCCCAAGATGTTTGTTTAAGCAGCAGTATGGACAAGGCTCAGTATGCATGTTATGCACTCATGCATACAATTTTAGCTGCGTATCCCTTGCTTTTTGGTTTTTGCAGTAAACCAGCATTGAGTCCTGCTGCTTGTTTCACTTGCCGCTTGAATCCGGGCCGGTCGTAGTATTTTGAAGACCTTGGCAAAAAAAGCAGGTACAAGAAAAAAACCAAGTTCAGTTTGAGCTATTTGCTATCAAAGTCAGTTGATTCCGTCAAAATCTCTTTACGGATATGAGGCTGCTACATACTGCTGAAAAGGAAATGCTCGCTTTCTGTACTGGCAAACGTTGCGATCCAAATAAAGAGTTGAAAGAAAATTTTAGCCCAATACCACAAACAACACAACATGTATGTACTATGTGCATCGTTAGCATCGGATAATAATTTTTGTCATAGAAATCCTATTGGTAACAACGACGACAGCAGAAAGTCATCCAGTTCCTGAAACATCAGCAGCAAGATTGTGTAAGCCAACGTGATATCAGGGACCTGATCTCGTTACATTGTTTGCGTGTAGGAGTGGCGACGACAGTACTTTGAGTTTTGTTTTTTTCTGATTGTCGTACAAAATTCTCTGCAGTTCCCATCGCCGGACCAATTCCCCAAGCCAAGCAACCTAGCCTCCAATTATCCATAAGTAGCGATATTTCTTCCAGACATTTTTTTTTTGCCACCCTCGGAGCACAAAATCAAAATCCATTCAGAAACGTTGGAATCCACACGTGCGGCTAATGATTGGTTTGTGGATTTTTCGTCTAAATTTTTACTTTTTGTCCAGTTATGGACACATTTTGTCTATATCTAGGCAAATTCTTGTAACTTCATGAAGCGATGTAGGCCTTTTGGTGCGATGGCAGACGGAATGTTCTCCGGACAAATGGTACATGCTCAGTACATTAATAGCTTGTGTATTTAAGCGTTTCTATGGTACTGACGGTACACAAAGCAATAAGTTTGCCCGCCCGGACAAAAGTAGTAGCACACGTGAGGTTGCGTGGTGTCGTGTGTCATCCAATCAATTCCTCTATCACTGTTACACACTGCCATGAAATTAACGTCCAGCGGGACATCATATTATTCTTTTTTTGGCGGTTTTTTACAAGAAGCGCGCCTTTGGCTGCCGGATAACAACGAGAAGGACCCCGTTCGGCCTTTTCTCCACTTAAAATAAGTTGATCTCATCCCCGCTAGCTGTCGTTTTCTCTATTTTTTTTTTACTTGTTATTCAACCTTTCTTTCACCCGTTCTTCTTCTTCTCGTCCTTTTTTTTATTCAAGGAAAAGCAACTCGAGGACAGCAATGAAATTCTCTCATACATTGCGATTCAATGCTGTGCCTGATTGGATTGACTACTATGTCGCGTAAGCTAAATACTTCTTCCAGGATGCTATATGTTGGGTATATTTTTAAGCGCCTAACACAGTTAATCACGAATACAGTTACGATCAGTTGAAAAAGTTGATTTTCCAAATTGAAAAGGAACGAGTTGAAGCTGCTGCCGCCTACCATCGATCAGAGTCGTCTTCATCATCAACAGCTTCCAATGGCTCAAATAACGATCTCGAATCAGCACAGCCTTCTCCACCAGAGACACTCCAAGGCAGCGAAGACACTTTCCTCGGTGCAATGGACTTGCAACTTGACAAGGTTGTCGACTTCTACTCCACCAAAGAAAAGGAGCTCTACGACCAACTTGAGCAGCTACCACATATTTTGGCAACAACTACTTCCCATGGCGGCCTGTATCTCCACGAGCAGCAGAGCGAGTTCGAACGGTCACCGTTGGAAAAGATTGACTCGACACCTCATCTCGAGAAGCCACCACAGCGCAAAATGTCTTTTGAATCGCGCTTCTCTAGCAAGAGCGAAGGTGCCGGTGGCATCAATGTGCAAGCCATGCTGGATACACGATCATTGATGATCACTCTCTATGTCTCCCTTTCCGAATTGGAATCCTATGTCGACCTCAACAGAAGCGCCTTTGACAAGATTCTGAAGAAGCATGACAAGGTTCTCGATGGCAACTTGCGCGAGCCTTACAACAAGAAGATGGTCCAAGAATCGCAACCCTTTACGCCAGAGTCAACAGAAGAGCTGCGATCCCATATTGAACGACTCGAGCGTATGTATGCAGATACTTTTTGTGGTGGCATCGTCGAGATTGCTGTGCGCCAGATGAAGACCCATTTGCGGGACCAGATCACGTATGATCGAAATACCGTTTGGCGCGATATGATCGGCCAAGAACGAAAGACGCTCGATGCCCACGTTGTCGAACAAAAGCCTGCCAAGACTGTTCGAGTTCCGTTTACCAAATATTCGATTCCCAAAGAACTGCTCCACCAGATCGTTTGTCTTGGTATATCCATTGTTGCGCTGATAATCTTGCTTAATGTGGACATTTTCAACTCGCGTGAAGAAGATTACTGCTTTGCCCTCCTCATCTTTTCCGCTATTATGTGGGCTACTGAAGCCGTCCCCTTGTACGCCACCTCGTTGCTGATTCCATTCATGGCTGTACCAATGAAGATTCTTCGAAACGACGATGGCTCCACCATGGAAGCCAAGGACGCTGCAAGCGAAATTTTTGCTAGCATGTTCAGCGGTACCATCATGATGCTTCTCGGTGGTTTTGCCCTCGCTGGTGCTCTCTCCAAATACGGTATTGCCAAGGCTTTTGCATCCCACGTATTGTCGCGCGCTGGCACACGACCACGATGGGTGCTTTTAGCCAACATGTTTGTCGCTGGCTTTTTGAGTATGTGGATTTCCAATGTGGCCACGCCTGTCTTGTGTTTCTCGTTGGCCGATCCCATCCTTCGCACGTTGCCCGACGGTTCTCGGGTGGCACCGTGTCTGCTATTGGGTATTGCTCTTGCTTCATGTATCGGTGGTATGACATCGCCCATCTCGTCTCCTCAAAACATTGTCACTCTTCAATACATGAATCCCAACCCCGGCTGGGGTATCTGGTTTGGTGCAGCTCTGCCTATTGCGATCATTTCCTTGTTCGTCTGCTGGGGTATTTTGCTGCTCGTCTACCGTCCGGACAAGTGCACACCCCACCTCAACAAGATCAAACCAACCAAAGGCAAGATCACCTGGTCCCAAGTCTATATCATGGCCATTACGCTTGCCACCATTGCTTTGTGGTGTGCTGAAACGGCGATCGAAGATTCCATCGGCAGCACTGGTGTTATTGCTGCCATCCCCTTGTTCATGTTCTTCGGTACTGGTATCCTCAAAAAGGACGACTTGCACCAGTTCCTGTGGAGTGTTGTGGTAAGTACTAATAAATCAGTATGTTCTGCATTCTAGTTTTAAAGTTGCCATCGGCTAATAAACAAAATGAACTTAATATTTAGGTTTTGGCTCAAGGTGGTATGGCTCTTGGTCACGCTGTTACCTCGTCTGGTTTACTCGAAGACATTGCCCTGCGTATCAAGGAGGGTATCCAAGATCTTGAGGCCATTGCAATTCTTTGCATTTTCGCATGCCTGATTTTGGTCTTTTCCACCTTTGTTTCTCACACCGTCGCTGCCTTGATCATTGTTCCTATCGTCCAGCAAGTTGGTGAAAACTTGCCCGTACCTCGCGCCAACTTGTTGGTCATGGGTGCAGGCTTAGCTTGCTCGGCCGGTATGGCCCTTCCCGTCTCTGGCTATCCCAACATGTCGGCAGTCATGCTTGAAAATGCTGCTGGTAAACCATATCTTTCGTCCAAGGATTTCTTGATTGTTGGTATACCTACCAGTGTGTTTGCCACAGTCCTCATTTTCACCTTAGGTTATGGTATCCTCTCTGGTGTAGGATATTAATAGCCTCCTTTTCATTTTTTTATTCTTTACTAACGTGTTTTTATAATTGTATTTTACACGCACCCTTTCTCTACTTGTCTATATAATGATTGTATACCTTGATAATCAAGGTGCTTTTGTTGTATCATACCCCTTCTCGCTTTTTTCTCCTTACATTTTCATCCGCAACATATTATCATCATATTATTCATCAACTTTGCTTCTTTGTACAGCGTGTACACTGGACGTTCTATACATAAATTAAACAATAAATAGCCACCATCTCCAGGGGTGGGAACGGCGCAGAATTACTGTATACTGTATCTACTAGCTGCATATTGCCACTCACTATAAATTATCGAAATCTGGAACATACTTTATCAATAAGAACGCTGATTCTCCTCCCTTTTGTTGACGTGTTCTTGCATCAGTCCATTGACTATACTGTTGGCGAATGTTTTTGGGCGTCGTCGTCTTCATACTCACTACCCCTGGACTTAAAAAAAAGAACAGCGGTGATGTTATCGGTACTTGCGCTGTCATCACAAGCACCGCGAGCACCAGTAATATATCTTCTTTGTAACGTAGTATAGTTGTCGCCTCTATGTGCTGAAAACGATTATGGACCTTTCCTGACCTTCCAGGCATCAAATCTTGTGACACTTTGGCAAATTTTCAGGAAACTATACAACTTCAGCTTGCACTGCTAATCGATGGATTTAGACTTATAGCCGTAACTTTTAAAAATACGTAACGTTACTTGATGTTTGATCATCGTGTATCCATCACTTCTTCGGGTGCTAAATCATCACTCAAAGAAGCAGCTGCGAAACTTGCCAGGCATAATTGAAAATGGACCATAATGGTCGAGCATATTTGCAAATGAAAAAATGCTATCACATCAGGTAAAAACAGAAAAAAAAGCGGATAGGATAGCAGTAAAAGAAACAATATTCAAAATGCAACAGCAAAAATAGCATAACACCGTCGTCCTTGGCGCCCCAATGATTCCATCTGCGTTTAATCAACAGCATCAAAGTGAGACTTGATACTTTGACGCAGACAATTAATCTCTACTCGCCGAAAAGAAAGATAAAATAATCTCTTGTTATGCCTGTACAGTCGAGATAGGCATGATTGCTTCATCCATTGATCAATTTATTATTTAAAGAGAGCTAAACAAGCTGTATATATACCATCAGGAATATTAGATTGTCTCACATAGTTGAGGGAATCAACATATGAACGATTATACTTACCTCTTGAAAATCAGCATGTTGAAGCTATGTGACCTTAATCCAATTGTCAAACCTTGTTGATCTTGTCCCAAACACTGACTGAGCATAAAATGCAGAGAGAGGCTGTCATTGAAGTCCTTCTATGCGTAACCAAGAAAAAAAGCTAGCAGTTAGCTATACACTCATGAATCAAAGAAAGTGAGAGCCTTCTGGCGAGTAACTCTCACGCTACCCAGGCCGATCTTGGGCATGAAAGCTCTGTATCGTATTAGATATTACGCACTGTGACATAAAAAGAAAGAGAGAAAAGAGAGAATTTTGGACCATATCACTCCGAGACCAGGCAATGTTATATATACCATCCATATAGCAGCCGATTAACCTTGGAGACAACAGCCACGCATGAATCACATTCTTGTTGTATAAACGAAGTGTAGTCATACGACTTTTTTGATGATATGTATAACAATGAGGAATTAGTATTTTGATATAACATTATCTCCCTCATCAACAGAGAAAAATGCTGATCAAGCGAAAAAAGGGCTTGGTATTGCTGAACAATATCAAAGATGTCACTGAAAAGTACAATTGATGAAGCAGCAGCAGTTCTATTTAACGGAAACTTTTGGACGTTTTAAACGCCCAGCAATCCTCCGTGATGTATCTCTTCATATTCCCAACGACTTTTATAAAATTCCAAAGACTATCCCTCATAAAAAAGTATTTATCTTATCTTTTTCTTTCACTTATACTAAATTAAAATTAGTAGAAGTATCATAAAGAAGAATTTCATATAATACTAATTAAATAATCTTATCCGTTTAGATAAACAATGGTAAAGGATGAAGATGAGAGTAAAAAACCATCGTAATATGCTGTGTTAGATGTAGAATGATTCTATCATGTAGGAGAGGGAAGTAAAACAAAACGATGATACTTATTGAATACTGCACATGATACTGAAAGAAAATGGAGTTGCTACATGACAATAATGTTGGTGATGCTTTTGTGTAATGAATGGAGAACATGTTAGAACATCATAAATATGTACACCGAGCAGATGATGTTATTGTAGATGTCCTTCCAACACTTTATTCATGGTGTACTCAAGAGTTTAAATAGAGATTCTGGTATTATTATTTTAGACAGACAGTAAGTCCCGTGTCCTAGGGTTTGTAGGACTTTTTTGGATAGCTTTAGCACAATTCTAAGCAGCCTTGCGTATTCATATAGTTTTCGCTAATGTGTGATGCTTCCTTTGCAGTGTACTCAACTGAAGATAATATATCTCGTACCCCCGTGATATTTTTTTTTGTCTTGGTCTAGCGCTTTACCTTTCTCTAGCGATAATAGTGACGTCTTAAACCATTTACGCTTGACAGAATCCTAGGAAAATGCTGTGAAATCTCTTGATTGGTTTCTATAAAGTAGAGTGGTTTATCCGCAACTGACATGATGTAGTTCTCTCTTGGCAACCATGGTGACGTTAAATCTTCTTGTCAGGCAACCGATTATGCTTTCAAGTGACACAAGCATTTCTTCAAGAAACTGAGCCTCAATAAAGAGAAAAAAAAGACGTCGAAATTTTTTTTTTATCTCGGCATATACACTTTTTGACAACACACCATGTCTGCACAAGTCGAGAAGAAGCTCCAACCCAGCCGCAAAGGCAAAAAGGCATGGCGTAAAAACATTGACATGCAGCCTGTTGACGAGGCTTTGGAATCATTACGAGTCGAAGAACGTGTTCGGTAATTAGGAGAAAAACAAACTTTTTCATTGGTTTCCTGCCAGTGTCAATGATCGATCTTGCACCTTTTTAACTTTTGACCTTAATATTGTATATGTATTTAGTGGTGAAGGAACGAAAATCGATGATTTGTTTACGATTGATACCACCGGTGATTTACAAGGTAACGCATATATACATAGTTCGACTTGTGCCTGTTACATTTCCATCCTCCTTTTCTTGTTCAAATTGGTTGTATTAAAACGTATTTTGTGTAATTGCTAGTAAAGCGACAGTTGGCAAGAGATAAGCCTTTGCGTGTGGACGAGATCTTGGCCGAGCGCTCTGCAGTACCTGCCGTTATTGCACGAGTAAAAGCAGCCAATGTCGAGAGAAAAGAATCAAAGCACGATCTGCAAAAGGTGAATCAGATCGCCAAGCGAAAACGTGAAGGTGGCGCCACACCTGCACCCACGAAAAAGAAGCAGACAAAGCAAGCAACTTATGATATGTGGGGCGATGGTAATTATACATATGTATATGTCTCTGTTTGGAAATGCGATGCTAGATCAAACTAGTGGTAGTGATAACGGGTGGTTGAAATACACGGACATATACTAACTGACATTGCTTGATTAGAAGGCGCTGAAGAGGAGGAAGAGGATGATAGTACAGGTGGATACCTTGATGCTGTCAAGGAACGTAAAGTCAAAGCACCATCCACGCTCAAGTCAAAGCCAGCTGCATTGGTACACAAGCCATCTGTTGAAGTACCCCATGCTGGTGCATCATATAACCCAACCATGGAGGATCATCAAGAGTTATTGAGAGAGGCACATGGCATTGAGACCAAGAAGGAAGAAGCCATCAAGAAGTTGAACGAGCAGTTGTCGTACAGAAAGGAGTTAGACCAATTGAAGAACGAACTTGAAGAATCTATTTCGGATGATGATGAAGAAGAAGAGGAAGAAGAAGCACAGAAGGATGAAGCCGGCAGCGCTAAGCGGAAGTCAGGTGGTATGCGCAAGACAACAACACAGCGAAACAAGGAGAAGCGGAAACGATACAATCGTATGCTGGAAGAACAAAAGATTCATGAGCGCGATATCCGAAAGCAGATCGATCAGGTCAAGGCGATCGAGGCTGATCTACAGGCACATATTGAAAAGCTGGAAGAGGTTGCTGAAAAGCGACGTCAATTCAAGGCAGAGGAGGAAAAGAAGGGATCGCGACGATTGGGTCGACATTATATCAAGGAGCAGTCCCTCGAAGTTCAGCTACAAGACGAACTGAGCGAAACCTTGCGCCAGTTGAAGGTATGTATCTCTCAATATACAACTGGGGTCATCGTAAAAGTGTATTAAACCTGCCTTCATAGCCCGAAGGAAACAACCTGAAGGACCGATTCACGAGCATTCAGAAGCGTAACATCGTCGAGGCACGAGTACCAATTACTCCCTTCAAAAAGTACAAGCCCAAGGTTTACGAGAAGCGGTCATACAAGCAGTTCGATGCTCAACAAGAACGACAGAAGCAGCAACAGCAGTCAAAGAAGAAATAGTCAATTACAATACATACACTTTTACATGTCTCTTTTTTTTTGTACTTTTACGTCTCGGTTTTCATTTAGTTTGTTTTATTACGTATATCATCTCCTTTTCCTTTCAAAAAACGCATCCCTGCACTCTATAAAAAAAAGCACGCGCATAATATATTTTTTTTTGCTCTTTTCGAAATCCAATCCAGATTGATTCAGCGCGTCTTTCGCCTTCCTCTCAGCCGCGCACATACACCTCTACAATTTACCAATGAGCTCCATTACAGCATCATATACTTCAGCATCGGAAAACCGAACGTTCGAACACCCCATTCTAACAGAAAATGGCAACATTAATGGCCTTACAACAGCCATAAAAAACATGCAAGACGATATCAATCAATATTTAACAAGCCGCATGGCAGCCAACAATGAAAACATGGACACATCCAAGGAGGAGTACGAAGAAGAAGAAGAAGAAGAAGAAGAAGAAACACCAAGTGGCAACAACAGCAACAATAAGAAACAAAAAACGTCGAAATAAATGCGGATGAAGAGAAAGTCATTAGTATATATTAAAAAAATTCATATTATAGTTTCTTTTTTTGTCTCTACTGTAAGTCGTCGACGGCTCTGTCTGATATAGGAGGTTCCAGCTCAAAGTTTGTGATCTGACTCAAATAAGCACATGCAGCGAGTTCCAAGATGTAAACATCATCAAAGACATTCTTTCCGTTGTATCCTCCTAGCACATAGAGGCGAGAGTCGTGCAAGACGGCAGTGTGGTATCCTCGGGGAGTAAATGGTGTGCCATAGACTGTACGCAACTCCCAGTTCATTGACACTAGATGTAGGGTAGGAGATTAGCGCTTCTGTGAGCGGATCACAACATTTGATAATTACTGTAACTTGCCAAGATTCAGCATAAGAACTTCATTAGAATATTTCGACCCATCATGCCCTCCAAGGAAGAAACAGTAGCTGCCTACTAGGGTTGCTGAATGCGCTAGACGCGGTATGGTACGATCCAGCGTATCAATCTGCGTCCAATGGCTTGTCTCTAAGGAATCATCCCCTCCCCAATGTGAGTGTTTAAAGGGCACAATGAAATGCACCTCCCTTCTCTCTCCTGCCCACTTGTTACTTACCCAAATCAAAAAGATAAACATCGCTAAAACATAATTTCCCGTCGCTGCCGCCATAGACGACGAGCTTATTCTTCACGAGCGTTGTAGTGTGGTATCCACGCTCGGGCGGTGGCGTGCCCGTAGTCGTAACCAACGACCAATGTGGCGGATCCTCAGTAAGGTCGAGCATGTGCACGTCGGCCAGCGCGTGCGCTCCGTCACCACCTCCGACTACAACCAAAGACTCTTTCCACACATTACAGGTGTGGGCACGTCGAGGCATGGGCGGCGTTCCGGTCGTTGTGAGTTTCGACCATCGTAGCTTGTCTGTTACATAATCACATACAGTTTTTATGGTTAATGTTTGTCGCACAAAACACAGCCTCTCTCGTTATAGGAATCCAAATGTGTGTGATTGCACCAAATCTTTACCTGTATCAAACACATAGACGTCGTTAAAATAATACGGTCCATCACCACCGCCAAAGACATACAATTCACGTCGTATGCTGCCGTTCTCTACTTTCCTCTCGACATAATTGCACGAGTGTGCACGTGAAGGCGGAGGCAACCGACCAGATACAACGGGTTTGGACCAAGTCATGCTTTCTGGTATAGTAATAATCCAGTTAAAAAAGACATGGATGCCGTGTGTGTGTGTGTGTGTGTGTGTGTGTATTGTCGCATGAGGAAAACTAGAAAATAAAGAGCTCCGGCCTTACCCATATCTAGAATATGTAATGTATTATAGCAGCGCTTGCTATCTGATCCACCGTAAACAAACAATCGGTCTTGTACGATGCACGCTGAATGAGCACGTAAAGGTGGTGCGTCTTTTTTGACTCCATACGTGACGCACCGCGACCAGTACATGCCTGCAGCTGGTGCAGGGCGAACATTGGCGTTGGTTCGAGTGAGTTCGAGCGCTGCTGCAACATGATCTGCTACCACGCGCAGCGTACGGTGCTGCTGTAAGTTATGGTGATGGTGATGATGATGAAGATGGTCGCCGCCTTTCACGGTCGAATCTTCACCTTGCACTTTCTTTTTCCGGTAGCTCACATTGGGTGTCGAGGTACGACGGGGTATCACTTCGGGTGTGGATGACAGTGAAGGTTGAAACGTTGGACTAGTCATGGCATCAAACGTACGCGCATGCTCTTTTTGGTTTTTTGTTATGTTTGAGGAATTGCATAAAAAGTAGTTGGTTCGATACAGATTCCTGTCACTCTAACTTGTTTTCCTTTATCTTTGTGTTCGCTCTTACTGGAAGAAGTGGATGGCTTGTGTGATAAGGATCCGTTGCTACTGCTGCTGCTGCTGTTAGTACTATTGGTGCTGTACATTGTCGTGCGAGATGTCGTTGGCGTGGAAACAGACCGTTGCGGTCGGTTGGCTGCAGTCATCAAGCGAAGCTCTTGGATCGAAAGCTCGTCAGGACCACCTTCAGCAGGTAACGTAGGTGACTCTGGGTAGTCGTCGTCCTTGCTGTAATAGCAGTAGTAATGGTTGGTGTTGCATTCTTTTTAGCGTTGTATACTCCTTATTACTGCTACGACTACTACTACTATTACTACTACTACTTGTTCGCCGCCTCAATTTCTTGAATACAACTTGCCTTCCGCTGCTTGAAGAAGCTACGGTCATTGTTGGACAATCTCGGCAGAACAAAAAAAGGAATGACAAGCGTTGGAGCAGGAATGGAGATTCGGGAGAGGAAGAACAAGGAAAGAAAGAAAAGGGAACACGAGAAAAAAGGAGAGTGAAACAGGGACGAAAAAAAAAAAAAAGAGCTGCTGATGTTTCCTTTGTGGCACTGCAGCAACTTAGTTGCTTAATACAGCATTGTCCCGACATTTCACGCGCTGATCTGGTTTCCCTTTTTTTTTTCTCAGCTTTACCTAAATTCTTTCCCTTTTGCCTAAAGCAAGCACCGATACGGTGATTGAACTCTCATGTTGCAATAGGGTGGTGCCTTCGAATATGAAAATGGAGGTGACGTGTTGTGATAAAGAATAAGGCTCTGTTCAACATGAGAACATTTATCCACGCATTGTGTGTAACCGCTCTCGATCGATCATCTCAACAACGTCGTGGTGTTTTTATTTTTTTATAATGACTGCTGCTGTAAAGAATAGAGTATCTTTCTCGCTTAATACACTGTACTATAAATAGCGATTCAAAGAGATTTTATAATACACACACAACACTGTCATCTGTCACCAATTTTGCAGTGTTGATGAAAAGAGCTGTTTACGTCTACTATGTATAGAACATCACATATATGTGTATTATTTGACGTAGTATATTCAAAAGTATACAGAGCATACGTAAGCCGATACAATGACACATCATTTTTTGCGGGTTTAAGAAGTATTCCTGACAGCGTATCATAAACAATCAAGTGGAGGCGCATTGCTTATTGCTTGAGCGGTGTGACAATTGTCCAGCATAATGTGTCTTCATTGCTTCTTTTTTCGATTACTTCTAAAGTCATATCCACAAAGCTTACTTGGGTTGCTCTCTGCTATGTTTTATTGTAGCTTATGCCAAGAATGAAACAAGTCGAGAGTTCATGGCTATACCTGATTAGTACTGGTGCAACAATATACCAAAGCTCTCTTCACTTACTGAGAAACGAAACAACTTCATGGCGTGCATCCTGTACGTTAAGAATAGCAATTGAATGATAAGGTATTGTTTTATGATATAGTGTGTAGTAGTATGGTGTTAGTAGCTTGGCTAGACTAAAATCCTCCGGTATTGAGGGCAGATCAAACAAAGTAACAAAAGACAGTTCCTCTTGGGCTATTTCCATAGTAAGCCACATAAGAAAATATTAGCAATAATGCGATTTATTCCGGGAGAGTAGTGACAATGCATATGCATTTGCATAGGCTTCAAAGTTTAGATTACATTGTGTTGTTATAGAACGATATACAGAGAGCAGTAAAATGCTGAAAAGATTTCATAAAAACTATGTTGTTCATTTATAATTTCTTTAGTGTTGTTGGAAAATCTTGGCAGAAGCAAAAGTGGCCCCAATCTCAATATGAACACCACCGCCGACTATGTACGCTGCAAGATATACCACATGAAAGTTACGTTTGCATGATCGACAATTTCACTTACTGTATCCTATCTACTACTGTATGTAGCCAAAGTTGACATAAACCCCTTGATATTAATTCTATATGATAGATCGGATATTTTAACCTCCTCTAGAACTATAAAATGCTTTGTTGTGTGTACTTTCCCTACATCTGTATCTAGTACTATAGTTTATTAACTGCATGAATGACTGCATAGTAGTTCAAATAGACATCACTTGGTGCATGTTTTTGACTTTCATCGTTGATGGTGCCCAGTAAGAAGCAGTTATGTATCAATTAGAAACGGGTGATGCTGTGTACTGAAAGTGCATGATGGGATCAACAACATGCACCTGTAACTAATTTTTAATATTTATGTGATCAAGCTAGATCGTTGAAAAGAAAACTGGTATGCTTGGGGGGGGGACTCTGGGGGAGAAGCTTTAAGAGACAAACATGATCGAAACTAAGCGCAAAGAACGCAAAGAATTGTATTCTGGCCATACAACACATTGCTCGCTCCTTTTTTTTAGATACACTTGCACCTAATGGATCGAGTAGCAGTGATACATGGTGCCTTGAAGGGTCTGCTGCTGCTGTACTACAGGTGTGGGATATAAGTGGCAAATCGAGTGGCTCGGATGTAGGTCGCATGACAAATTGGTATGTGCGCTTGATATACCTGTCTGCAAGCCATGATGACGGCGGGATCCATGGTCTTCAGTCTATTTGGACTATGTGACATTTATGCACTGTTAATGATGATGCAAAAAGATGAACTTTATATATACACTAAACAAAGGGTTGGTCTAAAGTACTAGCGGAAGGCTATGACGACTTTTGTGCGGTCGTGGTAGTGACATCCTTCTTTATTCGCTGCTTACGCGTCACGGGACGGGACGCTGACTTTTTCGTTTTCTTTTGCATCTCGTCCAGGGCGCCCGAGAGTTCGGTTTTGAGAGCAGACCAGGGCATAGTGACGACCGGCGAAAACGCATAAAAGATGTAGTGGTAGTCTAGGAAACAATGCGTTAATGACAAGTCAGCAGTAGAAGGGCATGTGTGTGTGTTTTAATGTTTTCTTCCGTTATCACCAAGTATTTCCTCTGTCTGACCTTTTTGTGCCTGGTGGGGAAACCTGTCGGCGATCGCTGCTTTTAATCGCCGGGCCGCTCTGCATCTTATCACAGCAAGCTTTGAAATGGCTTTTTTGCCAGTGATCACTGTTGCTGTATACCCTCCCGAGCCTTGTGGGGATTTCGCAGGAATTGCCTTGACATTGAATGCGTTCCTCTTTACAAGCAGGAATGTGAGTTTTGGGAAGAGTGGTTGAAGGTCCAATGCCGACAATGCAGGAATTTTTTTGAACAGCACTGGAGCGGGCAGCATTCTGTGTTTATTGTTTTATTTTTTTGAGGGACGGCGAACAAGAGGAAATGGGTCGCGCACGGTTGTTACCCAATGGGGACCGTCGGGATTTAGTAAACTCATGCGGGTTTGGTGGTAGGGAAAGGGGGTGTGCGTGGGGGTGGTTTGGGGGGGGGGGGTCAGGCGCCAGTGGCTTTCGCCCTCTGCCTTTTCTTCTTTTTTTTTTTTTTTCTGTGCCAATAATCTTTTTCTTTCTTCTCTCTTCTTTAATCCACATCCCACACAAGAAATACGGCAACGCTTCGTTAAGCAAAAAAAAAAAAGGTACTCCTTTCATTCAATCCTTCTTCTTCTCTTCGTTTTTCCCTTTGCAAGATGCTATCAGGAAACAACTCCGCTATCCTGAACCCAGGCACTGTCGTTATCCACCTTTACACACACACACACACACACACACTATTAGCCCTATTAAGCACACCTCCTTTTGGCCTCACTCTAACTCACTCTGCAGGCCCTTCTTTTTTTTTATTACTCTTTACTCTTCATTCACTTCTTTCATTTTCCATTCTTCCCAGTCGCTCCAGAATGTCGTCCTCGCTTACGTTCCAGCTCCGCCAGCAACAGCAAGACAAAGTTGCTGCCGTGAAGCACCTCGGTCCTGCCGTGAGCCTTCCGTCACCACCCAACTCATCTTACGGTGATGAGGCTTCCATTGCCAATGCAGACGTTGGTCCGTCCAAGGAACAAGAGCGCAGAGACTCACTGCCGACCCACTTTAATGCGCTAACGTTGCAGCACTTTTCTACGTCACTCCCTGAGAACTATACCATTGAGCATTCCTCCTCTCCGATACCGATCCAGTCTTCTTCCCCACACTCTCGCAATAACAACGGCAACACTAAGCTACTGCCACAACGCGCAGAATCCCCTATATACCATCATTTATCGCCTACTGCTACTGCTGCTGCCACGGGCGGACGGACGATTCGCAACAGCAATCATGGCCGCCAGAAATTGGATACGACGGCATCATCATCATCATCCTCCTCGTCGTCGTCGTCGCTTCCAAATTTTCACAGCAATGGTGCCATCCGCAAGAGCCGGGAAGGCAGCACCGGCACCAGCACGCATGGTGGTAGCGGCAAGATGCTGCATCGCTGCGAGGACTGTGGAAAAGTGTACAAGCACCCAAGCTGTCTCTCAAAGCATCGGTGGGAACATTCGGACGAATGGGAACTGACGAGCAAGCTATTACTCACAAAACACCAGCAAGTGCAAATGCTGGAAGCTGCTGCTATCCTTGTGAGCTTGGATACGAAGCGAGTGGAACAAGAGCAAGCACGACAGGAGCAAGGAGACCATCCACAACAGGACGAATTACCCAAGGAACAACAACCCCATCATTACCTTCACCACCACCAGCACCACCACCATCATCATCAACATCAACACCAGCAGCATGGTCATGAGATCGATGACGATGACGAAAAGTCTATCCGGATCGATGATGACGATGGCGACGATACCGACGACGACATAGATATGGATTCGATCTCTATTGCATCCTCCACCCCATCCTCACCCGACTTATTGCCCGCTTCGTTTCCTCACGGAGACGACTAGGACAAGTCGCACCTTTGCATCCCATGAATTACCTAAGCATACTATTCAATCTCACTGGCCTCTCTGGGTCTGCTCTATACTCTTTTTTTTTTTGTTACCCCTCCTTTTTTTTTATATAACCTGTGGCGCTTTGTGGCTGAACAGTTTTTTTTTTTTTTTCAATATTTTTTTTTCACAAGTGATCTGTATATTCTTTTTCTTTACCTGAAGTCCCTCGTTTTCTTCTTATCGAGATGGTATTGCTGTGCTCACACTCATCTTTTCCCTTTATACTGTTTTGTGCGTGTCGAGATTCGGTCAGAGAGAAAGAGAGCGAGTGTATCAATATTATTGATTTGTTGGAGATGTTGTCCTTATTGTTCACGTGCGTGCAAAATCATACCTTATTGTTTGCTGATTCGTTCTCTCTGCATGGACAAAGAGAAGAATAACTTGTGTGTGTCACCAGTGCTGCATGTTCCCACAGAGATCTCAGGTCTTGGCTAAGTAAGAAGCGCACAAGCCTCATCAAAATTAGCAGTCTGTGTAGCACTGTTACTGGCAGAAGCAGGGTACTGCTGTAAGGGAGGACTCTTATTACTTTTCATCTTGAAAATGGCACTGCCTTGCTTTATATCTTGATAAAACCACAGATCAATGCGGCTGTTATCATATGTGGTCGGTGGTAAAATAGAATAATATGTACATGTTTGGAAATAATTATTATTTATTGCACGGTCCTAGGCGGTCGGCCCACAGAGTGTACTGTATAGATGCAGAGCTTTTGTTGGAGAAGATGTTGACGCTGATGGGATTCGAGTTATTCAGTGCTACGATATTATATAGTACATTATATCCGAATTTTCACCTTTTGATGCTCATCATGACATATGCGAGTACCTATACTCTTTGCGATTGAAAGTACACAGTCGTTGTCGGATTCAATAACATATATACTTACTGCTGCATATCAAACTATCTCCATTTTTGCACACAGTAAAGTTGCAACAACAGTAACAGCATCGTGCTTCTAAATTGTTGGAAATCATGCTGCTCCTGCACAGCAACGCATGAACTGCTTATTTAAAAACAACAACAACAACAACAACAACAACATGGATGTTGATCGATGCTTCAAGGACTTCTGTAAGTATTCTCAGTTCAACTGACTCTACATTTTGTTAATATAGTTTTCGTTGTTGTTCACAGGTGCATTTCATCCGTGCTGGTACTACAAAATCCCGTAAGATACGAAACTGTGCCAATCGAACATTTCCCTCCTTCTTTGTTGGCAACTTTACATCGAGACGGTTCCACATCCTTGTAGTACCAAGCATCCTTGACCCTGGCTTGTTCATGTCTATCAAAGGCATCCTCCAATGTATCATGAAAATAAAACCAGCAACTTGGGTACGCGACAAAAGCTTATCAATCTTGCCATGACAAAAGATGGCCCAGAAGGAAGTGTTATTGTTGCGGTCGAGTGACTCCTATCTGTCATGAAGGATTTAGATACAGGCGAAATGGGTGAATTCGAATTGGCTTGTTCAATTGTTCACCCCCTCATTCAATCTTTACTTGCATATAAATGGTTGAGAAAAAGGCCAAATGCACGAACACCATCCCTGAAAACGGCATAGATATGGGACGACGACTTGATTATGAAGTGACCGTCTTTACGAACGATACCAACCATCCATTCGTACATGCTTTGGGGAACTGAAAGTTGAAGGACCATCAGATGCTGCGGTTATGAGTACGACTAAGCGCAAGACCAATTGTTTTCCTTTGGTTTTCAAGGATCGTTATGAATGCATCATAGATTTTTACCGCTTGGGAGTGTTTGCAAAACTGGAGATTGTCATCAGCAATTTGACCGGCGTGTTGTGTTTTCAAGCACTTGGAACAACAATTACATTCTATGCACTTACACATCTCCATCCTAGTATCTATACGCTCAATGAACTTGTGACAGTTGCAAAACCCAAGATAAAGAATGATATAATAAACGCCCTTGATGACCTCTTCAAAATGCTACGTATCATCGTACATTATCGAAGGCTCCCGCTACAAATGCTCAGCTGCCGACATTATGATACCATTTGGATTTGTATAAGGAAAGCGAAAATCTCTACCTATAAAATGAAGACCATCCTTGGGATCCATATTTGAACAGGAAATTGTAATTAAAGTGCCTCACCAACACAAAGATTTTCTAGTCTTTATGCCGATTTTATCAATTGTCATTAATTGAACGTCTCAATAAGCAATGCAGTGACATCATTCTCCCTATTGATTCAGGAGTGTCTCTTTAGATGAATATGTTTTTGGCGCAAGGAAAGATATTCCAATATCTTCAGTTCATTCTAAATGCACGTATCTAATGGTTAAAAAAGCACAGAACCAAAACATAACTACACCAGTCTATACCCGCTTGGTTACCTTCCATCAAACATAATAACCACGCAACCTATGATAGATATGATATAACGGCCTCCTCCGCCGAATTCATTGGCGGTGGTTGGGAGACTGAAGACAAGATTACATAACAGGCAAGGCAAAGCTACATGTACAAAGTTTATGGTATAATCTAGATGTAAAAAGTGTAGCAAGCCATCTAAATGTGCTAAGCCTGTTGTTGTAATCTTGCATCCAGAATCCCGAGACTACCAATGGATTTAGGGAAAGTGAGAGTAATATAGCGCACTGGGGAAAACATGTAATACATGAGAAATTTGGTAACTTTAAGCTACGTAGCTGTCTTCTGGTACTTGATTCTGGCATTGGAGGCACGGCTATATAGCGACAGAGAGTCTTAAAGTCGTCGAAAATCATTAAGACAGGAGTGGAAGAAGAGGGCGTCGTCTACATAACCCAGCGCTTTGATGGGCGGTTAGCCCACGCTACGAAGGGAGCCAACCGGTCGGACCAGAGAAAACCTCATTCCAATTAGTGTGGATCGGCCAAGACTGTGCGAATGAATGGCCGAAAGCTATTTTAACAGTATTGGAGAATTGACTCGCCTCGTCTTAATCCTCGTCCTTGAGCGACTGGATTGCTTAGAGAGTCATTCACTAACACAGAAATGGATGATGCAGCTTTGTATATAAGATATCAATTGCTTTTGTGATTCTTTTTACACCGATTAAAGTACATATTATGTGGAATTTGAGTATCGTCTTTAGCACCCGCGAATCTATACATGCTGTATCTTATCGCTCCTAAAACCAGTGTCTGAAAGAAGGTTGAGTGGGCAACAATGTTTCGAATTGATTATATACTTTGTCTGGTAAGAACAGGGTCACCGACACACAAAATGGTGATATGCCGCTTAGGCCTTAAATTGAGTACAGTACACTTCTTGTCAATTTTAGAAAAAAAAAAGTGAAAAAAAGGGTTTTCGAGGAGGCTTACATTGAGCATATAGAGTTCGACAGCAAAATCTTGTAAGTCTTTCCCATCACTCCCCTCTTCATTATTACTTCTGAGTTCCGCCATTATCAGGATAAACGCCACTCTGGCTTTTTTCTTTGTCTGTTTGACGCATACGCAATAATCGCTTAGTACGGGTGTTTTTCTAGTCGTATACAACCTACTTTTGACATGGGTCCTCGTAACGGAAAGTAGAGCATTACCTAGCTGCACGATTTGCCCTAGCACTTGGGTGCTGAAAATGGCTGCAGGTTGTGAGGGTTTCTCATCCTTGAATGATGGCAACAGTTGCTCTTTGGGTATCCATGCTTTTATATGTACACCATACCGTATCAAGTCAGATGATCGAAGGGAAAAAAAGCTTATATAGATAGCGGTTTACTTTTACAACAAAACAAATAAACGATGGACTACTATGAGGTCCCCCCTGGATGGCGTTGTTAAGGATGTCTAGCTGAGGTTGATTTACTACCCACTATTATGGTGACGGGGCGATTGATTCGTTCAAACACGCCGTTTGCTGCTGCATTTGCGGGCGTTCTTCGCTTCGACTGAATCTGAGTGTCAAACCCTCCATGCGTTCGTAAAGGTCTCCTCGTCTTTCTCTCTCTTGTTCTTCCAACATGTCGAAACGTCGACTCAGCAGTGTCGACGATCAGCAACACCACCAACAGCTACAGCAGGAAAATTCAGCCATGCCGTTTACCATTGACCCATCTACACCTTATGCATCGTACGATCTTGCCACTTTTCTGTGGCAAACACCGTTTATTTTCGATTACACGTTCGACGACGCAGCTAAACGGGCTCTTCTGCAGAAATGTTATGCATCGCTCTGGAAAAACAAGAACGAATTGATGCAGCAACACTTCTTCCCAGATCGTCGAGAATTTGACGAATCGATCGATCGGTCACTCTTGCACCGTCATCGACGTACGCGTAACAACGATGAAGGAACAAGCGATCGCACTGGTTTAAGTCAGGCACAAGAGGATGCAGACATGGACAACAACAACAGCAACACCAGCAACATGCACACGTACAAACGACCTCATCTTGAACGCTGTGGCCGAGTGTTTCGCAAAGGAGAACCGGTTTACCGGTGTAGGTAAGCATATAGTTTCTGCGATTTGAAAGCTTGTATACGGATCAAGCTAGGGACGCTGATGTGTATTAATATTCATTGTCTCAAAAGAAACTGCGGTCTTGATGATACGTGTGTGCTTTGTTCAAAGTGCTTTCATTCCAGCAATCACGAACACCACACTGTATTCGTATCAATCAGCCCTGGCTCAGGCGGTTGTTGCGACTGCGGCGACCCCGAGGCATGGAAGGTGCCATTAGAGTGCGACGCTCACTGCTCTCGTGCAGCGTTCTCGCCTGGGCAGCGATCAGCTTCATCCAAAGCCATGGAAAAGCACATACGCAAATGCTTAACGACAATCCTCGATTTTATCCTCTGCGTGTTTTCCCTTGCATCCGAAGAAATCGCATTACCAGCTACAAACGACGAAATCATCCAGTGGAACAAGAACGAGTGTGTCATTTTTCGCCGAATGAAAGTACCAGCACGGACAGGCCTGCACAAGAAGCGAAAGCAACGCGCACAGCAGCAATTTCATGACGATATGGACATGGACAAGGAAAATCAAGAAGAGAGTGCGAGTGCAGCGCGACAGGCTGTGGATGACGATATGCTCTATTCATTAATTGCATGGAACGACGAGACACATTCACTCAAAGACGTGTGTGAATCGGTAATGCGTGCCTTGCCTTGCGACTATGAACATGCGCGACGTATCGTCGAGACAATCCAGATGCAAGGTCGAGAAAAGCTCGGAACGTCAGTTAACTTGGACGAACTACGGTCCATGGCAGCACCGTTGACGAATATTGGATTTGGTGTAACGATTAAACCAGCACGCGATGTGTTTCGAGAACAAGTATGTGCTGTACTGATCGACTGGCTTCAGGAGCTTGCTCGGGCTCCATTTCCATTGAACGAGAACGACACTATCCGGACAATCTTGTGTGAGGAATTTTGTGTTTGCTGGGAGTTACCACGGCCGCTTGCTATTCTTACAACAGGTTCGCCACCGGTACGACTCTTGTCAGAAGATGAGGAAGACGATTTGGAAGATTATAACATTGCAAGTGGGGACGACACAGTGATGAATGGATCTGAATCAGAGCAAGGAGAAATGTTGGTGGCCCATACACAAGAAGTCGAGGAAGAAGAGGATGTCGAGATGGACGAGCCAGATGAAGCAGCGGATATTGTTGTACCTGTTATCGAGCATATCGATCCTGATAATTACCCGATTATATATCAGAACCAAAACGATATCGCCAGCATCGAATGGGATCCAGCACCAATGGTCAAAGATCATCGTCGTTTGGCTCTAGAAGAACAGAATTTCGCTGCATTCCTTGATATACCACGTCAACTGATCCCTGTCAGAGAAATGAATGAAACGCGTGCCTTGGCCTTGGCTATCCAGCGCGAATTTGAAAAGAAGCGTAGACTCGACTATTTCTTACTTTATGATCTCCGAGTTTGGAAAGAAGTACGGATATCTTTGCGCGAGCTTTACATCTTAACACTTGGATCCAACCCAGTGTTTAAGAAGCGATTCGGTAAGTTTCGTATATTTTGCTCCTTTGAGTGGTAGTGAACAGGATAGCTTTGCTAATTGATGAAGTTTTTTGAAATAGGCAAGCGACTAGTACGGAACTACGCAAGATTGGCAGATGCTTTCTTGTTCCGGGATCGAGAGCCTGAAAGTGCCTTCATCCTGTTCTCTGTCCAGCTCCTCACTGTGCCATCAGTATGCAGTTTGCTCGTGAACGAATATTACTTTTTCGGTCTCATTTGCTCTACATTAGCAGCGTTCTTTACCACCGATCAAATCTACTATCTTCCACCTAGTGAACGCCCTAATCTACCAACAAGACTTAGCTGTGAATCAAAGGCTTTCCGCACCCGCCGATACTTTAACGCATTCCACGACTTACGCTATATCCTCAACGTCGACCTTCTCAAGCCGTTGCTTGCCCAAGATCCAGTGTTCTTACGGCATTATCTCGACCTCATTTCGCTCTTCCAGGCCATGAATCCACAATTATGTCAAAAGGATACGCATGTCGAATACGAATCCGAAATATGGGTCAATGCATTCAATGTCACCTTGCAGATCGCCAAGTGTTGCCGTGCATTCTCTGACTGTTACAATGCATTGCCGTCCGAGACATCGGAGCAACAAATTCAATCTGCACAAACGCTGGTCCGTGCTGTTGCTAGGATACTTAAAGCCATTGATGCGTGGGGCGTGGGTACCATCGAAGACGGTATGGTTCCCGCAACAACTAGTGTAAATCGACACACCGTCACCTTGCCCTACCTTGGCGATATGAGTCTAATCAAGTACGATATTTCCTCCGAGCCGGTTTCCTTCCATCATCCACTCCACTGGCTTTTGGCGGGTGTTCTTGAGGCGGCAAGCTGGATAACCGATGATGTTTTGCAACAATCAGGATGGTCCTCTGGATTTGCCAACGCCGTCGCACTGTTCAATTCGATGGACACGGATATGCTACCTCGTATTTTGGATTTCCCTATTCGCACACTGGCATTCTCTTCGCAGATTAGAGCTGGTGTTTGGGTTAGGAATGGATACAATATTCGAAATCAGGTACGACATGAGTGAAAATATCATATTTGGTTATAAAGTCACTAACTGTTGTTTCTTTTCCAGGTCCACCATTATCGTGACATATCACTCCGTGAAGCAACCTACGACAGTGATATTTTCCTCCTACAGTTCGCATTCGTAACGATCGACCCCAACTATGTGCTTGCAACCTTGATGGATCGCTTCGACCTAGTCCCATGGTTTACAGGTGACACTGAACACGGTCAATACGATAACATGCAGTCTACGTTTATGGTGGAAGAAATTCTGTATCTTTTGATCCTGTGTGTCTCTGAACGCACGAATGCCACACACAAGCCGGTTCAAGACAAGATCAGACGTGAAATTGTCCATCACCTTTGCCTCGGCCACACAGTTTACTCGGAACTCGTCAAGCGGATACCTGAACGTTTGACTGAACACCACGACTTTGACGAAATCCTCAACGAGGTTGCCATATTTAAAGAACCTGTTACGCTCAATGACTCTGGACGGTATGAGTTGCGTGACGAGTATTTTAACATGGTGGATCCCTATTTCTGGCACTACAGCCGAAATAACCGTGGTGAGGCGGAACTCGTGCTCAAGAACCGGTGGAAGAAGGAACATCCAGATCAGGACGAATCGACCTTTTTTGTGCTGCCAAAGCCTTTCGAATGGGTCCAAGGACCTTTTCAAGGATTAGAGCGTTTGCTTAGCTCGCCAGTCATTGTTCAGATGATAGTGTACACACTTTACAACGTTCGACGCCTGCGCGAGAGTCACAAGAGTGATACGGTGCTTGATGAGGCCATGTATTTAATCCTGCTTTCCATGACCGTACAAGACCCAAGCGAGTTTTGCCAATATGCAACAGGTCGTGTATTTACATTTGAGTCGCCTGACGATGCCAGCGAACAAGAGATGAGCTTATTCCAGGTGCTGATCCAGTATCGTAACGACGAGCAATACAAAGAAACTCACGCACGGATTGATTGGATCTTGGAACAAATGAAGACGCGTGGTGGCGACCAGGCTCAATTTGCAGTAAAGCAGTATTCTGAGACCATACAAAAGGATGATGATGTTTCGGCGGATGCGAATACGCAGGAGTTGTCTGAACAAGAACAAAAGAAGAAGGCGGCTAAGGAAAGGCAGCAAAAGATCATGGCCATGTTTGCCCAAGCGCAGTCTGCATTTATGGAGCAAAATGAAGATCTTTACGACGAAGAAGAGGAAGAACAAGAAGAAGCGCAGAACGAAGGAGAAGGTATCAATGATGTCGATGGTGATGCTACGACGGTTCAGCGAGTATGCGCGTATCCAACAGGCACATGCATTGTTTGTCAAGAAGACGTCAACGAGCGATCCCTTCCGTACGGCATGCTTGTCTTGATCCAGATATCGAACATTTTGCGCGAGGCAGAAATGGACAATCCCGCTACATTTAAAAACATGGCGGAGATGGGACCCAGTCTTGACCGCGACTGGCCTGATGCCCAAGTACCAAACAGCGACGATAAAGAAAGCCAAACATGCGGCAGCTTTCCATCAGACCGACACAAGGCTGGTCTTTGTGCGACAACATGCGGTCATTTGATGCATATGAAGTGCTTTGATGCCTACTATGCTTCTATCGAGCAGCGACACACGGCTCAACTTACGCGCAACCACCCTGAAAACCGCATCCGCAAGGAATTCACTTGCCCACTGTGCAAATCATTGGGTAATGTGCTGATGCCCATCCTATGGAAAGGCAAGGTCGAATCCCATCCTGGCGTGCTCACCAACGCAGACGAAGAATCATACAACCACTTTCTTCAAGCGGACATTCACTTGACAGCAGAAAAGCTTCAGCATGCGATCAATCCATCACAACCGCCTGGGTACGGTATTTGGAGTGCTGGTGGTGACATGCTTTTTGCACCACGACTGCCATCTTTACGCGGAGAAAATAGCAGCTCGCGGGACAAAATTCCTGGGTTTTCCACGCTACTTGGACTGGCTGCCAACGAACAACATCAACAACGGTTGAACCGACTGGGCCCACCAGAAATGCTGTTCCGCTCGGCTGTCGGTGTTATTCCTGCTATCAGCTCTGCATACACTCGGATATTTGATGTCCTCTCTGCCATCCTCGATATCTGTGGCGTTGAAGCGACTCGAAGTCTGTCAACCAGCATCAAGAATGTTGATACACTTTGGGGAGTGCTCGGGTATACCATTGCGGCCGTCGAGATAGCCATGCGAGGCGCATCCTCTTCATCCGACACACTATACGACCAATTACCTAGTCAAGCACAAATGCTGTTGCGTATTTTGAGCGACACGGTGATATCCTACGCAAGTCTAATGTGCCAGAGTGAACCGCCGCATTCAGGCTCGCGATTATTTAACATTCCACCTGTTTCACACGATAGCAGCACCATGGTTCAAGTGCATACTGTTGCTGTACAAAGAATGCTTCAGCTGTTTGCTTCGGATACGGCTACGACGACCAATCAGCAAGCTGCGGCTGCCCCAAATACCCGTCTCTATGACAACGCCCCACTTTTGACTGATGACCCCTTCATGATACTTTCCGAACTTTCGGTCCATCTGGTCCAAGTTACCAAGACCGATGTATATCCGTTTATGCGCGTGCTGCTGTTGGCTGAGCTAACCAAGATCACTGTTGGCTTGCTGCAAGAGGGCTCCCTCCCGCTTTATCAAGCAAACAATGATGGCGGCGAAATAACCAACGATAGCGATGATGCCATTGCAACGCGAGAGTTTGTTGCTATGGTGTCAAGCAAGCTCAATAGCCAAGTCGATATTAGTGCTAGTGCCAGATTCGACAAGTTGCTCAAGTCGTTTGCACTGCCATTTTTGCGTCGCACAATGATTCTGCTAGTTGCACGGTTTGGCCTTATCGTGGATCTATCATTGACACAAGAAGAAAGCGAGTTTGACCGCCTTTTACGGATATTGCATCTTCCTAGTTTGGCTACACTGCTGAGACATCAGGATACAGAGCAGATGGTGGCTGGATGGTGCGGTCAACTTGCCAAAGAAGCCGAGCGACGAGGCGAACCACAGCGGACCGTATTAGATCTCCCAACACCACTATCATTGATTCGATTACCGACAAGATTGGACGCGTTGATGGATGAAAGTATGCGCCGTATATGTCCAAGATGCAAGACCGTACCTACAGACCCAGCTGTCTGTCTGCTCTGTGGTACATTTGTATGTGCTCAAAGCTTTTGTTGTTCTGAAGGTGAAGAAGGCGAGTGCAATTTGCACATGTTAGAGTAAGTGCTACATATGAATTGGGTTTCTGGCCACTGGCAATCATGTTAATCTTCGTCTGATAGGTGTGGTGGCGAGATCGGCTTGTACTTGTTAATCAAACGGTGTTCTTTACTGGTACTCCATAACGAGAATGGATGGTTTATGCAAGCACCTTATTTGGATGCACATGGTGAAGTGGATGAAGGATTACGACGAGGTCGACCCCAGTTTTTGGCTGCCAAGCGATACGCAGATACCCGTAAACTATGGTTGCAACATGGTATACCTGCATACGTAGCGAGACAAATTGAAGCATCTTACGATGTTGGTGGCTGGACTACATTGTAAAAAACACACACAAATAGTATATAACACATAATCATTCACATATCTCTTTCTGATCTACATAAGACCCAAAATTTAAAAAGTCACATTCTTTTCTTTTTCTGTCTGCAAAGTATACTAAAAAACCAAAGATAAAAAGAACATTAAGCAAGAAAAAAGCAGAAGGGGAAGGGGGAAAGAAAGCTGCGTATATAAAGGATGCTGTATATGTATATATTTGACAGAGGAAGGGGTGGGTTTAGAGAGGGGTGGCAATAAGGGCTGGAAGAAGGGTAAATCAATACAGTGCGGAATCACTAGTGACCTTGGCCATCATAGTTGGACTACATGGGTTTTTGGACGGAGACGAAGAAGTTGTTGATGATGATGAAGGTGCGTGGCCATTTGTTGCGGCATGCTTCTTCTCCTCCACTACTGCCGAGAATGGTGCTAACGCGTCCAAAGCATGACTAATTCGCTTTGTCAGTCGCGCCACACACTTGTCGGCTAGTACGATCTCCCAAGCGAATTCAACACCGTACATAAACTTGATGGCATATGCGATATACTGTGCTTCAGTCTCACCCATCCCAATGTATTCATCGACTGGCGTCACGGGCATACGTTCGGGATCATTACCGAGAACATTCTGGATCAAGCGGAGCATGCAGCGTTGCACTGCATCAGTGTCCTGCACAGATGGTGCCTTGGGTGCTGTGATTTCAAACGCCACACTTCGTGCCATGACATTGTGTTTGCCGTCATGGTGGTATCGGAATTCGTATGTGCCGGTCTTCCAAGGCAACTGAGTCCCCTTAAAGACCAATGTGCCCTCAGTTTCGCCTTGTTTAGCGGTTGTCCATTGCCACAAGCCCCGTGAGCTGATGTTTGTAATATGTCGATGCTTGTTTGCCGTGACCTTATACACGCCGATCCAATCACGCTCTCCGTGCTTCTCGGGCGCAGTCCATGATAATTGTATAGGATGACCGAGAGTGAATCCGTCTGCAGAGGGGGTCTTGATTTGAACAGAGTAGCGACTCAAATCGTACGTGCCAATGTTGTTGTCAACCAAAGGATGGATCAGGCGCGAGCGTGAGGTTTCGAGCAGCGTCTTGGTTTCCTCCAAAACTTCCTGCAAGCGAGGACGGGCAGCCTCGACCATATCACCCACAGCACCAGCCGTTTCCTCAGCAGTTTTTTCCACCTTTTCAACCATCTCCTTGACAATACGTTCGACGTTCTTGGTTGTGTTGACAGCAGCTTGCAATTCGGCGGTTTCGCGGATCAACTTGCTGACTTCTTGCTGGAATTTGTCCGGAATAGCGTTGGGCAAAGCAATAGCAGCAGACTTCAGGGTCTTTGTCAAACCGGCCTCCTTGCGGATCTGATTACCGTAGAGCTTGCGCATATGCGGTGCTTCGACGTAGTTCAGGAACAAAAAGGTCGAAATTTGCGAGAACAAGGCAAGGACATAGATAGCCCAGCTGTTGGCCATGAGTGTCATGCCCCAGATTGCAGCGTGGCCGACAATCTTTTCAGGGTTGTTGAGGTAGCGGTAGATGCCAGTGTACAAAAGGGTGGTCTGTTGATCCTCCATGAAGAAATCACCATAGAACCTACGTTTGTATCTTATTAAGTACATGCTTTCCAGTATGAAGTTTGAATAGCCCTGCTTTTTCCTTGCAATACTTTACCAGCCATAATCACCGAGCACTTCATAGATCGATACCGCAGTCCAAATATGCAAAGAAATGAAACCCAAGCCGAGCGTGTGTCGCAATAATGTCAAACCATATGTCCAGTTGCTCGGCAAGGAGTACATTTCCCAACAGGCCACAGAGAAGGTAATGTAAGTCATGCACAATGAGAGGTTATAGATGCTCTTCCAGTTGGCAAAGGCTTGCTCGACACCACCACCCCACTTGACGAAATGACGCGTGAACAGCTTGTTCTGGGATTGTGCACGCAACAAAGCACCCAGACCGTACGAATGGAAGATGCGCCAGAACACGGCTTGTCCAACAGCAAATGCAACACCAGCCTCACCACCGATAATGAGCGGGGTGATGAGCGAGTAGAACATGAGAACGGCGGATGCAAGATCGGTGGAGCGGCAGAGGTCAAAGTTCTTGAACACAATCAGATCGCGGCGGAAATAGTACGAGTAAAAGTCGCGTGTGGCGTTTTTGTCCAAGGTCGTATTGATATCTCGAGCATCTTCGTCGGATGAAACGAAGCCACCAGCTGTAGGTTGGCGCTTGGGAAGGGTAGGCGGGTTGTAGGTCTTGTCGATATCTGCAGTAGAAAGGAGAAAAAAGTGATGAGGTAAGCGAGCGAGACACACAAATAAAATCATGCGTGATGTGAAACACTTACGAGGAGTTTCCACATAAACAAGGAAGGCAAACTGCAATGCATGTGCAGCGATACTGACAAAGAGCACCGTGTAGCTTGCACTCATCAGGGAGAGACCGTAGTAGCCAATGTAGCCCACCGAGTACATCGGATGAGGTGCCATCTCAAACACGCCATCGAAGGTCAGGGACTGCTCGATCAGGTAAAAGAAGTCGCCCCAATCTAGTATATCGATTCACATTCATTAATTAGCATCCACACCTGACCAGGAATATTGTACCTTTTTGCCTCCCGTTGCCCCTTTTTATCAACATCATCCCATAGGCCTATCCATCTATTGTTACAAAAGAGGGCTCCACTTACACCATGCAAAGTCCTTGACTACGCGCTGAGCATCGAGCTTGACCCAGATGTTGAATAGGATCATAAAGAGGCCGCCAGCCCAGCGCAGAGCATCGCCAAAGATGAACGTGGACTGGGGAGAGAGATTAAACCAGGCCAAGGTAAAGCAGATGTACGAGGTAAAGTCGTTCATCAGGATCAAGTCGACCAACTGGCGGTACAGCAGCCAGGTATTGTACTCTATCGGAGCCGACTGCAGCAAAAAAAAAACAGCATACACGAACGCGAAAGTGATCAGCTTTCTTCTCTCTCTCCCCCACCCCCCAATCGTTTTTGCTCGATTACATCGGACATTCAACGCAAAATCCAAAAAAAACCTTACCGCAAAGTCATAGTCATCGCCCATCTTCATACTCAACTGTGTCTTGAGCCAACGGTAAGCCTTTGGGTTTGCATCTTGGTCAAAGATTTGGTACTTCTGGGCCATGCGGACCAGTCCTCGGCTATCGCTCTGGTATTTCAGTAGTGCGCCCAGACCGGCATTGTATGCCAATCGCCAAAAGAAAAAGATGAAGATGAACAGTGTCTGCTTGGCCCACGTAGGGAGCAAGAACAGCAAAGCAATCTCGACGGCCATGGTGCCCAGTGTCAGAAGATCGAAAAAGCTCTTCTTTTCTTTGGGGTTCAACAATGCTGTCACCATATCACGCGTGGCAGGTACGCGAAAGACTGTCAAACAGAACATGTAAAGATATTGCCTCGGGATGAGTAAGCCCTTCCGCGAAATATGCATATAGCCCCACGAGATAAAGCATTGCAACTAACCTTTGCCGTCAGGTGTCTTGCCATACGAAAAGCGCGCGGTTTTGTTCATGTCATAATCGGCAGACGACGACGACGATGAATCTGAAGACAATTGCGACAAACGTCTGCTCTTTCCATGGCCATCGTTCTCTGACGGTGCCATATTACGGTGGCGTAGCTCCGAATCGACGCTCATTGTTTGCTTAATGTTCTCTCTGCTGTGTAAGTGTTCGCAAGTCGAGGGCAAGGCGATTCTGGTTGAACAGAGCGAAGGAGAAAGAAAGAGAAGGAAGAAGCAGAAAGCGCAACTCTTGCGGGTTCCGCAGGGCCCGAAGATTCGAATGGTTACACTATCCAGGCCTGGGTTCACGTGAAATCTCTGGGCTGCTTAAGGATGGGTTTGAGGGGCGCTCGATACACTCCGAAACGATGGGGTTGCGGGCAGACCACTTTGTTTTCGAGACAGAAAGGTTTCTCAGGTTGGTAGCGGCATTTTGTTAAGAAGACTGATGCCCTGCTCAGAACTTGGCAGCTTGCCTTGTGGAGATGACATGGCATCTAGTGTCTTATTCTCCAAAGCAACAACGGGGACAGCAGCAACGTCGTGTAAACAGTTCAGTTGTCGCTTGTATAAAACCAGATGATTCTTGGCAAATTCCTTACAAATCACAACGCGACGGATGTACTACATACATGATATGTACCGCATTACGGTAAGATACGTGTCCCATAACTACTGGCAAGAGAAAGGGTCAAGAACAACGGCCCAAAAAATATGATCCTCTCACTTTCCTACAGAAAGACGGGGTCCGGTTCTGATTAAAATTGGTGATATGTAGTCCCATCTGCAAAAAAAAAAGCCACCTTTCCAAAGTGGGGCCGGACAAAGCAACCCTTATTTGGTGCTGTGAAACGGTCAGTCAATTGACCCACCCCTGGCGCCATGGACTGACATGCACCTGGTCTCTTTTGACATACAAATTTCTCGTAGACATAATATACCCACATAATGACAATGACAGCCTTCCCACCTGTACCAGATCTTCTCATGCTACGTCACATGACGTGATTGACCGAGTGGGAGTGAGGTCACGAGGTTTGTCGCTGCTGCATGTTGGCGTGTAACACACGCTTTTGAACGCTAACCTCTACTGCTGACTGTAGCGATAACAGCAAAACAACACGATATGATACATATAACTACTTTTAAGAGAAGAGCACTCTTTCAAGAGTGCAGGTACATCGTTTTTTACTTTGTGGTCAACTGATCGCTTTACATATAACTATATCATATACATAGTACTCAAGTGCACCCTAAATGAGGGTACATTAATATGCAACAATAACAGCAGCACCAGCAAAATGATAATAATGGTAAGTAGTAACTACAGGACAATGATTACGTATTAGCGTATATTTTGTCAAGTGCGTATGCCGTTTTAACATGTACAATAACTTTCTGAATTAGCAGCAGAGCCTCGAAAAGCAGTATATACAAGCAGAGTTACTTTGGATAGAGCTTCACTGGATAGTAAAACTCAAAGCTGAATTAGGCTGCCAAGAACACATCCTTTGATAACTCTGCATATTTTCAAATTCAAAATGTGGAACCAGCCAACCATCTAAAAAGCATTGTGCAGAGGTTGCTTGAATCCTTGCAAACTGAAATACGCGCTCGACAGAAATTAAAAGGACAAGCATCACCTTTCCTGTGAGCTCCACGCACATTTTACCGGAAGTAGTCAATGTGAGCTGTTGATAAGCACCAGAAGAAAAAGGAAAGGGCGCTGTGGATACTGAACTACTGTATGTCGATGCCCTTGTCTGTTATTTGCGTATCATAAGCAAAGTAAACATGGCAGGTACATTAGGACGAAAAGCGCGGGCCGCTTATAATTTTTGACAGCTGCATCTTCGATGAAAAAAAATGATGACAGACATGATCCGGGTTGTCCGAAGTTACCTTTAACCAATCCATTATCGTCCTTCTTTTGCCGGATATGTTCAGACCGTCAATGAAGACTAAAATGCACCCTGCCGTCTCGTTTTGTCCTGTAATAACAAAATCTGTCATTATAGAGCCAAGGCAACCGTTCGTGGCAGCAAGTAGACACCACCAGCTGCAATGACCAGCTCTCCAAAACAATAAACGTGCGAAGAACAAGATACCGTATAAGGTCAAAGCTCTCCATTTAACAAGCTTTGCGGGCATGAACAACACTGCGCTTCTTCCGGCGTTGACACTTTCACCAAGCATCATCATCCGAAACCTGGTTGTGCTACGTTATTATATCTGACCACCCAATATGTTTACCTAATTGTGCTTTTATATGCCATTTGGAACGATCCTATGTAAGAAAAAGCAATAACATTAAATAACGCACCAAATGAGTCTATAGCCTGCGATTAGTTTAAGCAAGCCATGCCCCCTCTCCATATAGAGCCAAGCGTGAGCTTAATTGCAACCCCGCTAAAACTTTTCGTCTTTTCGGGTGGCGGATGCATTTTTGACATTTTTTTTTGCTTTGCACAACACAATCAACCCAAAAAAAAGCGAAAATGGCCAAGGATAAGAAGCAAAAGAAGGAGAAGGTTGCCGCTACTGCTGCTTCCATGGACGTCGATCAGGACACCGAAGACGAATCACCAAAATTCATCTCACCCATCGCACACCCATTGGCCGAAAAGAAATTGTCCAAGAAATTGTTCAAGACTGTCAAGAAGGGTAAGTGTCACCAAGATATTCTTAGATTCATTCTTGTCGAGTGATCAACAGTCGAAAAACAAGAAACAACTGGTATTTAAAAAAATTTCTTGTTTTCGGTCCATCGACACTGTTGTTGCAAACAATAACAGCCAGCAAAGTAAAGCACATTCGTCGCGGTGTCAAGGAAGTTGGAAAGGCTATCCGTAAAGGCGAGAAGGGTCTGGTCCTGATTGCTGGTGACATTTCGCCCATGGACGTGATTGCCCACTTTCCTGTGTTTTGCGAAGATCACGATATTCCATATATCTTCGTTCCCTCCAAGCAGAAGCTTGGAGAAGCTAGCCACACCAAGCGTCCTACATCGGTGACGATGATTGTTTTCGGTGGCAAGAACAAGGATGAGAAGGCTGCTGCGGATTACAAGGAATTGTATGACGAGTGCGTCGCTACGACCAAGGACCTTGTAAGTTGTTATCATCACATTGTGTTCTGGAGTGTTTTCTAATATCTTTCCCACTGCCTTTAATAGTACGAAAAACTGGTGTATTAAAAAAAATTAAAGAGATTACGATTTCTGGTTTTTTTTTACCCTTTCCATCAAAGTATTTACTTAATAACGCCTTTTAGTAACAAAACAAGACATCTTGCATATCGATCTTCCCTTGTGTTTCTTTTTCTTTCTTTTCATTTTTCTTGCTTATTTCACCAAAAAGTCGCTCGCATTCTTCATGTAAAGAATAAAACGTTCTGTTCATAGTCCATGTATTTAGAAAAATGTCGTTTTCTCAAGGGATTCAGTATTGAGAGGAGAGATCCACTAGGATACTTGCGCTATTCTCGACCATCATCAGCACGCATTCTCATAGTGTGTATTATACATCTTGCTGTTGCCATATGAAAGTATAGAGATTTATGTGCACACACGAATATGGGTTACACAACTAAAAAATCATTTAGAGCACCATTGCGTGACGACCCGTGGTGCTCAGGTCAGTGTCGGGAGAAAAGGGCTCCTGCTTCAGACACGTTTCTAATTCTTTCTGGAGCTCTCGAGACGCATTACTAATATATACATATACCACATGGCGTCCAATCAGCCCGTGCATTCCGTGTTGTTTGATAATTCAGCACCACAAGGAGGAGCAGCAGCAGCAGGAGCAGGAGGAGGAGGAGGAGGAGGAGGAGGCGGATACTACGATTCACCGGCTGCCGCTGGAGGCGATGGTCTTCAATTCTACGCATCTTCATATGGCGATCAATACGGCTCATCATCCTATTATGCCAGTCCACCTACGGATGCTACAGGCGAAATGCAAAGTGCTGGTTTCGACTATCAATCAGGATCGTTTTGGAGCGCGTTTGGCACGGGTGGATTTGCAGATGAACCACCTCTGTTGGAAGAACTAGGAATCAACTTTGAACATATTAAAACCAAGGTTTGTTTCTTTACAGTTATTATTGACCGATAAACAGAGTAGCACTGTGTTCATGTTTGGATGCAATAATGGGGGAAACTCAAACGTTATTTTTGCATATACACCTTTCTAAATAATAGAGTCTTGCAGTATTGAATCCGTTCCGAGTTGTTCCAGATACAATCATGGACGACGCTGATCTGGCAGGACCACTGCTGTTCATGCTTTTATTTGGCGTTTTTCTCATGCTGTCGGGCAAGGTGCATTTCGGATACATTTATGGTGTGGGTCTTCTCGGCGTGGTTTCCATCTTTTTGATCCTGAATCTAATGAGCGGTAGCGGTGTTGACTGGTCACGAACAGCAAGTGTGCTTGGTTACTGTCTGCTGCCCATGGTGATGTTGAGTGGGTTTAGCGTTGTCTTGCCCTTGGGCGGCTATGTTGGACTGGTCTTGACCGTGGTCAGCATCCTGTGGTGTACGTTCTCGGGCTCTGGCATGTTTACTAGCGTGCTTCATATGAGTGAGCAGCGGGTCCTGGTGGCATATCCTGTCGGTCTCTTTTATGCTAGCTTTGCATTGATGACCGTATACTAAAAAACAACAACAACACAATTTTACCCTCTTTCTCTTATCACACCACGCATATATTGTCTCTCCCTATCTCGAATCCTTACAAAGTCCAGAACTAGAAGAGCTCGGGTTCTTCTCTGTATATAATATATACTACATAAAAACTGATTCTATAATAGCACAACAATACTTGCGTTGCTTTCCATATGAAGCTGCTGCCTTTTTTTAATTGTTATTTACCGAAATATGTATGTACGATTGCGTTATGTTATGGAATGGGATGGGATGGGTTTCATATGGTGGGAATGCGAAAGAAAAAAGAAGATCGATGATTATTAAGGGAAAGCAAGATCTTCAAAGGACAAGTTCTCGCCGTGAGGCTTGTCCTTGAGCGAGTCCAAATCAATGAGGCTTTTGCGTTCGGCATAAAGCGACTTGTACGCAGACTTGATGGTCACCTCAGATACACCAGCAACAACAGCAATGTCACGCGTGGATTTGGGGGTGCGGTAGAGATAGGATACCAAGTAGATACAAGCGGCAGCTACCGAGATGGGAGACTTGCCTGCCAGCGTACCCAACTCTTTTGCCCGCTTGACCAGATCGACACCTGCTTTCTGAACGTAATTGGGAAGCTGCAAGTTGGAGCAGAAACGAGACATCAAGTCTTCCGAGTTCATGATCGTAGTGTTGGTCTGAAGCTTCGCCTGCAGCGACTTGTAGCATCGTCCAATTTCTTTCTTTGGCACCCGTGTCAACGCACAGATTTCTCGGAATGTACGGCCCACCTTTTCTTGTCGACAAGCGATGAAAATGCATGCGGCGATAATGGCGTCGCTCGACTTGCCTCTCAACAGCTTTTCATCCTCGACACGCTTGTATAATTGCTTCGCGGTATCGCTGACAATCTTTGACAGAGAAATCGAGTCGCACATGGCACTGATCTCTTTGTATGCTTGCACGAGATTGCGTTCTCCTTTGATGGCCGTTGCACGACCGTGGACCTTGTTGAGATCCTTTGCAGCACCCGTTCCACCGTCTCGTCGAGAAATCACAGTGTCGAGCTGGTTTCCATCTAACAATGGATTCGCTGCTGCACCAACACGAGACGGATCCTAATGATACGTGAATATTCATTATAGATTATTTTATTTATATGTGTGTATGTGTTATTACCATTCATGTCCAACTAAACCACCAAGCCCCAAGCCCTAACCCCTTCTCATTATAGGTTCTCTTTCCCAAAAAGAGGAATCTCATACATCGCCCTCATCATTGGCAAAAGTACGCCATTCCGATCTTGTGTCAATGATACGATCACCCAAAACAAGACCACAGTCGCCGCAAACAAGATCACCAGAGGCGAATTCTTCAATAATGTGAGGTGGATTCACACGGCAATCAGGACAAGTCAGCCTAACATTTAAGTTTGGTTGGAATTGTTGGGGTCCTTGATCTTTTTGTTGAGGTTCACGAAGAGGGAAAGGTATGCTGGAGGCCATTTTGCAAATTAAAAAAAGATCCAAAACGCCCACAATTACAAAAGTAACTTTATCTCTTTTCTAATAAAGGGTGGTTTTTGGAATTGGAAAACGACAACGAAGGTTTATTCAAGCTTGCAACGTCTTTTTTAATACTGTGAATTTTCGCTTGCCGCAGCAATCAGAAAGCATTTTCATTGGTTCGTTCCGCGCAGAACATTACAGTCATTTCAAGAAATTAGTCGCTGGTTTTGAAAAAGTTCAACAATGAGCTCGAAGAAGCGAGACGTACCTTCAACTGCATATATCCGAATGAGCCCTTGTTCTGGACCACAGAGAAGTACGGTTCTCAGCACGCGCGTATGAAAGAGGTGCACAGCCAATACCAAAATCTTTGCCGTACTTGCAGCTGCATGGTCTTTCTCATGGCAGTAAACGAGCCACCATGACCTTCTCTTCAGCAGAAGCGTGGACCAAAGATTTCGATACGTCAATCACGGTTCACAACTTGGATATTGAGCCCCACTGGCGCCGACTGATTCAACAAGCTCTAAATCAGTCACAGCGTGATCAGTTGTCCAAGCACCTTTCTAGTAGAGGCATTGCTAAGGCAACTTGGAGTCAAGCCAAAGATGTGCTGATCTCCATCTATGACACTGCTGTACAAAAGCGTGAAAGCAATCGTCAAGTCTTGCTTTGCAGACAAGGCGATTTTGAAGGCCTAGACAATTACGTCCGGCGCTTCCAGCAGCTTCTGCACAGTTCGTACTACAAAAGTACGGACGAAGCGGTGTTCGATACCTTTTTGTTGAACATGCAAGAAGACCTCCCGCTTGCAAATGTTGTACTGTACGGCAACACAAACTTGCTTTCTGTATGAAAGCTCCAGAGCTCAAGACGACGACGAAGAAGATGAGCAAAACTACAATGAAACTCCAAGGCGTCGCATCCGAGTGCTTGTGGCAATGTCGAAGCGTTTTTTGGACTCAAGTGATCACTGTAGTGCTGCTGAGGCCTGGTTATCGCAAAACTATGGCAATGAATGGCCTGTTGACGTGGATCGCATTAGCCCACACATTATGGCTTTGCCCAACCTGAAAGGTAAACGTAAGCTCAGCAAGATCAAATGAAGACACTCTTGGTAATTGACAATTGGAACCACAGCCCTAAATAGTGCACTGGATGACCTAAAGTCGTGTTCATTTTTAGTGATTAAACCGACAAAATACAGCATTCTCGATTTTTTCGACTGTATTGCCTCTAAGCAAGTACCTGTCGACAAGGAAAGATGTGTATACAACAATTGGACGCCTCGTTTCATTCGATATCTCTTTGCCTTCGAAATTTCTCTGATTGCATATTTACACATTCCTTTGGTGTTATATTTCCTTTGATTTTATATTTGGCCTTACCCTCTTGCTTTATTCCAAATTTCTATCATGTCTGATCTCATCCCTTAGCCTGTTTCCCAGGTTCTCATTTTACCTTTGATCTTACCCCTTAACTTAACTACCATTAAAAAGGCAGGGCTAAAAAAACTAAATGATCTTGTCAAAAGATTGTTTTTTCCTTCATTAGTCCCTATTCGGTACGTGACGATACGCTTGCCAAATATACTTCGATCGTGGTGGCTAATTAACAGCTTTGGAACAACATGATAGCTTTAAATGGTTGTAGCATGTTCATTGTTGAACACGATCAAATTCGAAACCAGCGACTTTATTTCTTGAAATACTGTATATTGCTTCGAGCAGCTTAGCTGATCAGGTGGCGCAATGCACACTACGTTTTGTTCTATTCACCCACAGTTTGCATTACTGGATCATGCTCGTGGTCGATATCCATGAAATGAGTTTCCAGCTGATTGCTACTATCTACATCCTTCAAGGCCTTGGTTTTGCCGTCAAAGTCTGGAAGATTCAGCGTGGAAAGAGGAGGTATCTGTGCTTTATGCTGGCGTCGCAACTTGGCAACCACTTCATCGAAGCGTCTAAAGTTGTTTTGATCACGTACAAATGTCTGATGTGCCTTTTCTTGTATATGCTATTAGGAAGAAGCAGAGAAAGTGGATTAAGTAAGCGTGCCAAAAAAGAGCGAAAACAAAAGGGAAAAGTTACCTCTTTCAGATTGGAGTAACGCTTGTTACAGTTTTCGCACCAATGCATCTCCAACTCCAGCTTTTTCTGTGCCTGCGCCTTCTCGCGTTCTTGCTGACGTTGTTTCTCTCGTTCCTGTTCTTTGGCGCGGGCATCGGTCTCTTTTGTAGCTGTTTGGTTCATGGCTGCAGTCTTGAGCAACTGCTTTGCGTTTCCGCCGTTGTTGTTCCTTCCTGCCCGATTATCTACCATCCGCCTATCAAGTCGTGCAACTCGCTCGTCTTGATTCTGTGAGTTGTCCGTGTAAGCTTTGGTGGTTGCTTCGGACGTGGATACGATGCGTGATGATGTCAAAACGGTTCGGGTGTTGGTGCGTGAAGTAAGATTTAAAGAATGTGTTGGGCCGAGCCCAGATGCTTTTAGAGTGGATGATGAATGTTGTGCGATGTTGTTGTTGTTATTGTTCTCATTGTTAATATCAGCGGTACTATTATGGATATTGGCGTTGTTAAATAAGGTAGAGAGGCGCGGATCATGGGGTGTCATGGGTGGTGTTATTGTGGTTGTTGTATTGTTTGGTATCACTGCTGCTTTGAATGGCTCCAGCGGTTTTGCAAATGCATGTGGTTGGTAAGGTGGTTGCTGTTGTTGTTGTTGTTGTAGTAGTAGTGACTGTTGTGGATAAGATGGATGATGCGTTTTTAATAATTGCTGTGATGAAGGACGACCGTTTTCCTTGTCGTCCTCCTTTGGATGCTGATCGTTGATGGGTTGTGATGCTGCTTTTGGTGCCTGTTGTTGTTGTTGTTGTTGTTGTTGTTGCTGACGTTGTTGCTGTAATAGCTGCTGTTGCTGTTGCTGCGTGGGAAGTAGCGGATGCCGTCCTGGCGTACGGATGAAAGGTGATTTGCCAGATGGTGTGCCTTTAATATATGGCCACGAGCCTATGACGTCGTACTGCTTGACAGCAACAGGTCGATGGACCCCTCGCATATCCTCGACAGATATATAGTAATTTTCGAAAGGTACAAATACAGGTCGTGCGGGTTTTGTTGGGTCGCGGGCATTGGCTGATCCACCATGATTCGTGCCTACGCCAAACCTCTTTTCGTCCTCTAGCAATTTGTTGATACCTTTACGGTTTGCCCGATGGCCAGTACTGTGTCCCGTCATCAATGATTGCAATAGCTTGTTCATGTCTGTTTTACATAAAAAAAAAGAAAAAGAGGATGAGAGGCTGCGTACATACACACGTAAAAGAAGTATGATCGGGAAAATTGCAAGTATGCTGCTTACAATCGAGACTCCACACTTTTAGGCCCCACTTTAGTGAGTTGCTAATAATCGGGTCCACCGTTCGTCCATTTTCACCCAGGGCGGTTAATTTTCCAGGAATGGATTTGGTCGTGATAACGTGTGTGCATTTGTTCGAAAAGAATGGTTCTGCAGACTATAACGGGCAGAATTAGCAGAATGTTTGTCAGTAGTCTCACGGGAAAAAAAATCCCGTAAAGAAACTTACAGAGTTGAGAAGTTTTAACCGATCTCGTATCTTTTTCATGCTTTGTTCGTCAACATTATCCAAGTAAAACTTGAATTCGGAGAACTTTTGTTTAAGGTTTTTAATGGAATCGCCTGCATGTGTTGCAGAAGCAGCAGCAGCATTGTTGGTGGTGGTTGCCAATGGAGGTTTATCGACGGTGGTTGTTGCTATTGTTGCTGCTTGGGACCCACTGATCGGTCTTTCCATGGTATGTAGACGCAGGGGAGATGTGTGTGTGGAGGAGAGAGAAAGAGTTGGTATACAGTATTATTAACTGGGGTTGGGAACCACACGACACAGGCACACACAGGGTTAGGGTTTAGCACATAGAATACGCTTCACAAAGCAAGCAACAGAGAACGGCGACGCCTATGGAAAAATAAACGCGTATGAGGCTGCGCTTGTACCTTGAAAAAATAACGTCGGAGTTACGATATGGATTTATATTTTTCTTCGCTGGTGTATAGATTGCGCTGCCATGGCAAATCCAGCATAAAAACCTGTTTTCCTTCCATATTGACTTTAATGTGCAAAGGAATAAGGAAGATTGGGTTGATCTATGTCTGATTCCGAATGACGCATGGATACTATTGATGCTCTTGCTGCTTTGAATGAGTGGCACTCGGCTCATCCAAGTCGCTATCCATCTTATGTTTATACCCTTTTGTGCAGTACCGTCGGCCAGGTAGGTTGGCAGTATGTCGTGTGAGTGTAATGTGAAAGCACTAAGCCTATTATATCGTTGGTAGAAAAGAGAAAATAGGAGAAGAGTGGGAGTAGTGATCAGGAAAGTTCTTTGTTTATAGTTTGCACGGAAGATGAAGAGAGGACATATGGCTGGACCATCACAATAGTAGTGCGTAAGCTTCTTGCAAGTGCGAAAGTGGTACATCGCACCATTTTGGGGTCTTGTTGCACTGCATAGAATGCTTCCTACTGGGTCTCGGACAAAAGCCAGTCAACATGGAAACAACCCTCGATCTGGTACTACTATGTTACGACCGATCAAATACCGTCATCGTTTATTAGTATTCTTCGCTCTCCGATCATTAACAAGTTGGTATATAGCAATTATACCCACTGGTGGTCCTTATCATCGCCACCCACAGCAGATCCGATAAGCGAGAGAATTAGGGCGATCATCTCATTTTACCACTTTATTGCTGGTACATATCCATACTCCCCTATCAAGACTCGACAAGAAGAAGCTAAAGAAGAAGAAGAAGAGGTGGCGCCTGCTGCGTATGTAGTATATATTAATAATAAGGGGAGGATCGTTGCCCAGAAGACGCAAGAAGCAGAAAGCTCTTACTTGTTTTGGTCTAAGCATGAAAATGAAAGTATAAAGTCCCCAGACTGGTCAATAAGCACCAGTCAGGTCAAGCCAAGCCTAAGTGGAGGAAGCAGGCAGGAGATGATGACAAGTAGGTCGTGCAAGAACACGCGCTGCACGTTACTCAAACCACTCAGTTTCTCTGTTTTACCATGCGCGGAGCAATGTCAAAGGCGGAGAACCAATGGGTTGGCTACCATGACACAAACTACTCATCCGATTGCATGCTGTCTTGAAACAGACGGACGGGCGATGACGATGTGTTTACTTGTATGCAGCGGGTGGATACAATGGCAAGGCAGTGGATACAAGAAGCAAATAATAAAGAGAGATGAAGAGGCCAAGGAGCGAGGAGCTCTTTGTAAGGGGGCGAAGGGGGGGGGGGGGACTTGCTTTGAGAGAATAACATAAGCACTGCCGCATATGTAAAGTGTATATATGGCATATGCATGCCTCTCCATATCGTGCTGCCGCTGTAATTTGCACACCCCGCGTGCCACGAACGGAAAGCCGACAATCCCTTTCAAATGTGCACGCTTCCAAGCATGGCAAATGGCAAAACCCACAGAAAATAGCTACTATTATTATTATTATTCTCGCACAGTAATCACATCTGCTCTTCTCTTTCTTTCTTTCTTTCTTTCTCTCTCTTCTTTTCCTTTTACTTTATTTCTTTTGCTCTTTCCCAAGATCCGTTTCCTCATCTCATTCCTTTCACTTTCATACACCTCTTTCCCTTCTTCTCTTTCCCTCGCTTTCTTTCACGATCGCCAATTCTCAAAAAGCACACGTCCTCCTCCTCCTCCTCCTCTTCTCCTCGCAACCCCTTCTTTATCCACTCTTTTCTGCGATCGCTTTTTTGACGGGCCACGCTTGATCATCACCTTCACTCTCATTACGAAAACAGGGGCTTGCCCTCGTTATCAATAGCAACAGCAACACTAATCTGGACCCGTCTTTACCTCTTTTTCATATACACTCTCTTTCTCTCCTACTCCTTTAACTTCCTTTAGCAATATATAAAGCATGCAACCACCGTCTCAAATCGACCTACCTATCGCTACCGACTCCGTAACGAATAAACCCTCTTCACAAAAAGCATCGTTGTATCACACATGCCGCGCTGTCCTGAACGGCCTGGCCGCTGTTCCCGGCTTTGACTACTATCTTAAGATGGAACCTACCTCGACGACAACAGAGCAGCAATATTCACCCACTATTGCGACGGCAACAACGTCAACCGTCGGCGATCCAGCAGCCTCACCAACAACACCAGCACCAGTAGCTTCGAATAAGAACGATCCTTTAAGCAAACTATGGTTTATATGCAGACAAGGAGCAAGCTTGTGCCTCCTCTTCAACACCCTAAAGCCCGAGGTGGCTATCCAACTTCAACAAACCAATGGCGATCTCATGAAGCCAAAAGCATGTGTTTATCACTTTATTATCGCTTGTCGGGACCATCTTGGCTTGGACCAAGAGGGTCCCTTCACGGTGACCGACTTATATCAAGACGATACCAATGGCTTCGTCAAGGTAATTTCGCGCTTCTCTGTAGTATTGGCTTGTAGAGCGAGATCGGCATACATCGAGATAAACAATTTATGCATGCGTACTTGTATGATCTAGGTCGTTAATACAGTAAGAAAAATCCTCGAGTTGCTCGAAGTCAACGGCATTATCTGTATCCAATACCATCGTCGTCATTCTAGTACGAGTACCCCAAAGGACACCCGTAGCAAGGTTGTGACCGAACTCTTGGAGACAGAACGTAAATACGTGCAGGACCTTGAATCACTTCAGGTAAGCAGTAGTAGTGGAATAAAGGGCGTGTAATTGAGCGCATACTACATCAGATCGCCAACGCATTACTCATATTTGTATTTTCCTTATTTATCACACTAATGCAGTACTATATGCGAGAAGCGCAGGCACAAAAAGTGCTCCCACCAGACACGCTGCATCAGCTCTTTGGCAACCTGAACGCCCTAGTCGATTTCCAACGACGGTTTTTGATCCATGCTGAAGACAATGCAGACCGACCACCACGCGAGCAACGATTCGGCAGCCTGTTCGTCCAGCTGGAAGACGCCTTTTCGGTGTACGAACCATTTTGCGCCAACTTCCAAACGGCACAGGCGCTGGTAGTTCAAGAGACTGTCAAGCTGCAGAAATTAGCCGATATCATGTCGCCTACTTACGAATTACCATCCATGTTGATAAAGCCCGTGCAGCGTGTATGCAAGTACCCTTTGCTTTTACAGGAGCTCGTCAAATCGACGCCGGAGGATTGGACCTATTATGCCGAAATGAAAATGGGGCTGGAGGCCATTCAACGCGTGACGAGCAAAGTCAATGAAACGAAGCGACGGCAAGAGAACATGGTGTTTGTCGATGATCTTAAACGACGCATCCTCGACGAGTCCTGGAAAGGGGCAATCCCCTCCTACGGATTTTTGCTGTTGCACGAACGGTTCGTCATCTATCGTAACGATGCCGATTACGACGTGCTCATGTACCTGTTTGAAAAGTCCTTGTTTATCTGTACAGAGGAGAAGGACGTGCCCAAGAAATCAAACACCATTTCCGTCAAGAAGAAAAAGCCGACAAAAGAAGGCGGATTGCATGTCAAGGGCCGTATCTTCATATCACAGATTGCTCAGATCACCGATGTCAGCCAGTCAGGTATGTAAACACACACTTCCCTATACCTGTTTCCACAAGCTAGCCTTTCTTTCCCTCAGAACACATGCACGCTCCCTTATTTGTTTTGTTTGTTGATTTCATTCATGTTCCGTTAACAACCTGCCCTAACCTTCTTCTTTCAACCATCAGGTTTATGGTCACTGCGGATCTTCTGGTCAGAACGAGATCCAAAACCCTACAGCATCCAGTCGTTCAACCTAAAGTCGTTTATCTTGAAATGTCGTAACGGCGAGCAGCTGAGGCAATGGGAGGCTGCGTTAAACAAGCTTATCCAAAACGAGAAACGCCTATCCCGTGAAAGCCGCGCGGCTGCTGAAGCGTTGGTTTGGAAACATCAGCAGACACCATCGATGCCAGTGACTCCTACGCAACCGCAACCGCAACAACATCCCGTTCACCCGGTGTTGTCTGATTCCTTCCCTGAGCAATCTCCTGGCGATGATGACGAGGACGACGAAGATGAATACGACGAACTGTTGCATTCGAGCGACGAAGAAGATTCTGGCTTTTATGGGAGGTTGCGCAGTAGCTCGCAAAGTGCTGATTCTTATCACTCGCACAGCAAGTCTCAAAGTTCCGTATCACTTCCATCCAGCTGCGTCAACGGCATCAACACGAACAGCAACAACAGTCGCCAGCCTGTCATGCCAGGGATGACGCTGCCACCACTTCCACGTGATTCGGGTGTTGATACGAGCCCCGGATACTCATGCTCGCCTCCCATTTCATACCCATCCTCACCACTCACAAACTCATATCCATCATCGCCATCTGCATCCACACGAGCATCCACCACCAGCAGTTCCGGATCAAGTCAAATATGGCAACAGCAACGTCGTCAAGGTGATACTGCTGGTCTGTTGCCAGGAGAAATGAACGGACGGACCATCCTGAACGAAGGGGTCGTAGTAGGAGTTGATGATTATCCGTTTTCGACGGATAGTAAAGAAACACAGAGCAACAACAATAACAGCAGCCGCATGCGGTCGCAAAGCAGTCCAAACATTCATCAACAAACGCCACTGTTTGAAGACGCAAAAGATGTACCCCTGCCGATCAATTCACGGACGTTATATTACCACCAGCAACAACGGAAACGGCTCAGTACGGGACATCAATATGAAGACCATCCTCCATTGCCGGTTTCTCAGCAGCAACAACTGCTGGGTGCGAACGTCAAGGTCAAATTGAATTACATGGATGGGATCTATGTGGTAGTAGCACCATTAGACATTACCTACAACGAGCTGTTGGAGCGTATCGACCGCAAGATTCGTGTGTACTACCATGACGTAAATAGTACATTGATCGGCCTCAAGTACCAAGACGAAGATGGCGATCTCATCACCATCAGTTCGACGGAAGATGTCCAAATGGGGTTCGAAAGTCGTGGTGCAAGCAATACAGTTAATTTCTTTGTTATCACCTCATCTACTGCTACTACTATTACTGCTACTACTACTACTACACCTTCTACTATTGCTACATCTACTGTTGCCTCTACTACCACAACAGGTTGTACCAGATAATGTTCTTATTTCTCCATGTGTCTGTTCTGTCTTTCATTATCATCATCTTTCATCATCATCTTCTTCATCTTCATCTACACCACTCTATACCACCGCATTCTTTGCTTTTTCTTCACTATCACCAATACCGCATCGATTCTTCTCCGTTCGTATTACCATCAACCTCCCATCCGTTCTTTTTCGTATTTTCGCATGTAACATTCCATACCTTTTCATATGTCACTCGACCCCGGCACTTTCCTTTAAATTATTAAAAAATTACAATACTTTTCGTTTAAAATTCATGCAAGAAAAGTTCGAAAGGATTTACTCTTATTCAAAAATGAATACATTTAGTTCTGGCAACCGT